GGAGGTCGCCGTTCGCTCTCGAGTGCTCGAGGAACGTTTGTTTGACAGTTCGTTCGTTCGAGCAGGGCGACGCGCGATACGCGTTCACGACTGGCGCGGTACGCGATGACATCGTGCCGGCTCGATGACGTTGCACAACGTAGTCTAGCTGGTATCACCGTTGGGGGTCCGAGAATTGCGGTGCTCGCCACCCGGGGGGCTGCGTGTGTCCGGTACTCGATGGCTCTCCACTGCTCTCTTCCTTTCCCTTCACCTAACCCTTCGGTCCCTGACCAGCGAGTATCCTTTCAAGTGTCCGACAGAGCTCCGACGCAGGACCCCCGGGAATTGGTGAAATCATTATTTCGTATCTGTCACTCCGTCTCTTTTACCTCTCCACGCGTAAGCGACCCCTTGCCTAAACAAAGATGGAACATGTGTCGAAAGTATTTCGATGGTCAGTTTCCCCAGAAAAGGATTCGGAGTCCTTGTTCGCGGAAGTCGAACATAAGCACGCGCGCGCTACCGGCCCTGAAACCAATTCGTATACCGAGAACGAACGCACATATTGGCGCCACGTGCGCTCCGGGATGTTTATCCCAGGAAGAGCAAAATTCCGGCTTGGTGAAATCAATATTATTGTTCGCGGTCGGCTAAATTTGAATCGCGATTCGGTTGCAGAGCGCGCGTGTTCGGCAAACAACGAATCGGGAACGCAACAATGTTCGAGGGTGCAGCGGAAATCGAAACGGAGAATTAAATAGGTGTTTGTCGCGAGTTCACGGATTAACGCGTTCTCGAGGCCGAAAAAGGGACAGCGAACCCTTCGCGATAGACTCGCGTCGCGATAAAAACGTAGCGATCCGTAATCCGTCCAAGTGTCTCGAGCGTTTCCGAGAGGCTGAGTGCGCGTTTACGCGCCACCAGCACGTTAATCCCGTAAAGTGCGAGCAAGATGCCTCCTTTGATCTCTCACAAAAGCCGCCACACGGCATTGACCGTGGTTTATATATGCTCATGTATGGACCACTGTCTTTGCTAGCTCACTCATTCATTAAATTCGTTGTATAATTAGGCTCGACAGAAAGACGGAGACTGTCAACCCATGATTCGTGTGCAGTCGCGCGACGTAGACATAAAAAGGAGCACTTCTCTGCTTCTCTTTCTCCTCATCCTTGTTGGACTATTTTTCCGCTAGGTACGTTTTACTTCTCTCGTTACCCTTTCCATATCGGTCACGTTAAAAAATCTCGTTACCGATCGAACGGTATCTAGCATTCGATATTTGTGAAATGCACGTAATTAGGGTAATGTTGATTCAACGATAATACCCCTCGGAAACGAGTGTTTCGAGTGCCTCGATAAGCCGATGCGTTTGTAACGGAACGTGGGAAAGGCTTTTTCGAGAATCCCTCGCGCGAAAAAGGACAAACGTGCCAAGGATACCCGGTAGAACGAGCCAAGACGAGAATAAGAACGGAAAAGGGACAAGATCCTAGATACCCCCCACCAAACGCAGAGGTGGTCCACGGAACCGCCTCCGCGATCTACCATCCAACATTCGGTGCGTGTGCCAGACGCGTGCTCGCTGTTTCTGCCTCTTTCGTGGACCAACCTGCGTGCTTGGTCTCCGAACGAACCATCGCGGACTCCACCGGTCCGCGTCCCCGTGTTTCTTCTCTAGTCAGTCAGCCATCGGAGTTTCCTCGATCCGCGCGTTGGAGAAGCCTGGCTCGAGATCAAGATCGAGATTTCTTGTGAATTGTTTGCTGGGAGTGTCGAGTGTGGACGTACTCTTTGCGTTATCGAGAACTATACTCTGAGAATCTTGATAAGACAACCTGGCAAGCTTTGTTTCTTAACGTTCGGTCGGTGAATCTGTCATCAAAAGGAACCGAGATGGAAGCTCGTGCCATACCGTCGCCAACGGAAACGGAAGCTGGACCATCGAGCAGCGAGCAATGCAGTTCCAGCAACTCGTTGGAGGACGCAGTGGGCAAACTACTTCAAGGTTTGCTTCTCGTGAAATTCGATAGAGCTATTGTCCGTCCTCGCTTTTACGAATCGTTATTGCCTCGCGTTCCTCGTTTACGAAGAGGACAGTTTAATTGGCGTCGAAAGTCGGTTTCGGTGGCTGCTTTCGCAGATTTATCCCCGCGATACCCCGGGGAGGGGAACGAGACGGGAAGGAAGATGAACGGTAGGCAACAGAGGCGGGGAAAGAGGAATCTAGGACCGCGGAAAGACGATTTCGAGGAAGATTTGAGTGGCAGGTGCTGCGAACAGAGCGAAACCGCTGAACGTTTGCCACCGACGCTAATTATGTTAGTACGAAATTAAATCCGAGACATCGGCTCGCGCGACCGTACCTACCGAAAAGTGGGGACCGAAGAGTAACGGGAGCTTAGCATGATTTACGAGGCCGTCCCGTTGAATTTTCGTACTTCAAACCGTTTCGGTAGTGAAAAATTTTCCTTCGAATATCCGATCGTTCGGAGACTTTTACGAAAGTGGACGCGAATGCAATTTCACGGTGAAATCGAATTCGTTTCCGTCGCTCATCGACCACAAAAGCTGTCGATGCGTTCAACGAGGTTCTTTCGTTAACGAGACTATCCAATGCTAACGAGCAGATTTGTCCGGAAATTAATGTAGCAAGAGTCGACGACAGATCGGCATTGACGACCGCAACGCGCCCAAACACACCGGTTCATTCAGCGTGTTACAACCCCTTATTGTGAACTGCACTCTGTCTCGCTATCTCTCTCTCTTTATGCATCTTCCTCATCGTTTGCATTTCGGAAACGTATGAAATTTTTCCATTAACTGTTCCTTACCTCTTATATTCCTTTACCGTGCGATTAAACTTAGTGTTTGGTCTCGATACTTGTTATACGTGTGAAGAACACATAAGCATTTTTCGCGCGAAACTTTTTCTATTCCCGTCGTAGGGTGCAAACCCTTCCGCGTTTCCATGGAAAATACTCTGCTTTGGTATCGAAGACGCGGAGGATCCAAGGGACGTTAAAAGAGCCGACAGAGAGACCGCATCGGTGAACCGTATCCCTATGGTAATTAGCTGAACCTACGAACCTACGGTCTCTCCTCTACGTTCCTGGTGACGTACCACGTGCTTCTTCCCTTTAACTTCTTTCTTTTTTTCTTCTTCCTTTTCTGTTTCTTTCTCTTCTCATAGATCGTTAACGTAATCGGTAACAAATTCCTTCTATTAACCCTTTGCGCTCTAAGGGTGACTCTCAGTCGCCATTTTATTTAATACAATAATATGAAATAAGGATTTTTTTACTGATTCTATAATATGACGCGTGTGACGTATAAACATAGAGAAACAAACAATTATTAGTAGAGAAATAATAGCCTCAAGAGAATTCAAGTTTTATAGTTACTGTTTGCGAACAGTCAAATTACGTTCAAGCGCAAAGGGTTAATTTCATACAGTTTATTAGAACCGCACAATTTTTATCAGGGGACATTTATAATTTTTATAAGGCGTTTTAAACTCTCTTGAAACGCGGTCGACGGGGATACAGGTGTCGTCTTATCTACCGCCTCCTTTACAGTCCAATTCTAAGATACGCGACGCATCCGGTGACGCTGTATTTCCCTTTGATATCTAACGCTGTCTAACGTTTAAAATCAACGTAGCTTACGTAGAGACCGCGAATAAATAATGAAACTTTGTTCGATCAGGTTACGACTGGACGTTGCTTCCGGTCACTTCTCGCGCAGGAGGCCGAAGGAGCGCTCACGTGAAACGTCCTATGAACGCGTTCATGGTGTGGGCCCAGGCCGCAAGACGCAGATTAGCCGATCAGTACCCTCAACTTCACAATGCCGAATTATCGAAGACGCTCGGAAAATTGTGGAGGTATGAAATTTCTTATCGTTCGATCGTCGGGAAACTAACGGACGCCGATGTAACAGAATTCTGAGCGACGGTGAGAAGCAACCGTTCATAGAAGAAGCCGAGAGACTAAGAAACGCGCACAAGAAACAACACCCGCATTACAAGGTGACTGTCATCTGTGCTCTATGCAGGTATAGAGTTTCGTGCACGGCTGAGACTTTAAATTATGAGTAACAATTGCAGTACCAACCGCGCCGACGGAAACCGAAAACCGACGATCAAATGGGCATCGCGATGCACCGGACTGCTCTATCCTCTGGGGCGTCCCTTGAATCTACCAACTCCTCGGATTGCACGTATCCGCGTTTGTACCCGCCGGATGCCGGTATAAAAACGTACGACAGATCGAGCTACGACGGTAAAACCAGCTACGATCTCTCCAGGTCCTCCTGGTCGAACGACTCGACCAAATACCCGATGGATCACGCGATGGATAAACCGTACGACGGGGCGAGGTACGAGGCGAACATGGCGAAAAGCTACGTGGACGCGAAGTGTTACGAGAGCGTCAAGTATCACGACGTGTCCGCCGTGCCGAAGTATCACGAGGCGATTCCAAAATACTCGGAATTGCCGGCTAAACCTTACGATTTGCCAAAGTACCCGGACAGCTTGAAATACGCGGCTGACGTTACGAATCCGACGAAATCGTACGCGTGTCTACACAGCCAATATTATACCGCGCCGTGCACGGAAGGATACGCCGTACACGAGGAGAACGATTATCAAACGCAGGCGGTTTCGAGTCACTCGTTTTATCCGTACATTTCCGCGTCCATGACGCAACCGCCCTACTACATGGGACCCAGGTAAAATCTTTTTGATCGAAATTCGATAGGAGAAGGAATGCTAAGAATCGGAGCTTTTCTGGAAACGAAGAATAGTTTGGTAGAGACCGTTTTTCTTTTCTCTTTCTGTGGTTATATTTATTTTTCGATAAACAATTTGATGATCGAATAAATACATTAACGAATAAATAATCTATGAAGTACTTTGATCAACAAAGACATCGTTTTAAACTACGAGCGTTTAGTAATTTACTTGCAGTTAATTACATGTTAACGCGTTACGAATGAATCATCAGATCTTTTCCTTTATATAATACGATTCTCGATAAAAATTCAAAAAGGAATAAATAAAAGGCGCTAAAAACAACGCTACTTTGAATCACCACTGTCGTACCAGACGAACCCTACGAATTACTCAGAAAAATACAATTAAACTATCTTATTACAACAGCTAATAAATTCGCTAACAAAAGAATAGAAAAGGAAGAGACATTCAGCATTAGGGAACATTTCATTCTGTTTAAACATCGCGATTCATTACAGCAGCTAATTCTTGTATTTGATCTCTATTCGCATGCATGAACGCTTTCGCGGACCACACCATGTCGGCCAATACTTCGTCGCTTTTCTCATCCATGGCGATATCATCCGACAGATGTGGATTGAATCTATAGTATGGCACTCCGATCATGGAACACCAATTTCGAGCGCGATCGACGATCCTTCCATCGCTTCCAGTTGCCTGATCCACCAGCAGTTCCGCGAGAACCGATATTCCCATGGCAAATTTCGCGGTGCCCCATAAACTCTCTGGTAGGAAAATATCTATGTCTTTCAACTGACTAGTCGGAGGCATACCAGTGCCTAGAGAAACTACCAGAGACAGAGGAACCGCTTCCGATTCGCGACCAGACGCCTTCAACGCGAGATTGTATTCGTGAATTTCGGTAATGGCATCCAACGTTGGATTATTGGCTATCAATCCACCGTCGAGGAATTTTCCAAAGGATCGGAAGTACGTGGGAGCTGCACCAGTAGCCCGTGCAGCGTGCCAAACTAATTGTTCGTTAGGCGGCAAGGGTGTGACGGAGGTCGAGCTCGCTGGAATTTGCAAGAGTGTACTCGGAGCGTCGTAGTTGCGGAACAAGTAAAGATCAACTGGCTTTTTATCAGCCAGCACTCCGGTAATCATTATCTTTGGTTTCTTAATATCAGACATGACCGTGTCAGCTCCTAAACTGTCCTTCAACACCTTCTCCAAACCATCGCTGTTATACGGTCGATTTCCAACGAAAGCTTCCTCCTTGATTCGAAAGTAGAGAGCTTGACATTCGCGCAGAGACTTGCCTAATGCTAAACCGAGAGCTAGGATTCCACCGGTCGAAGTGCCTGCAATCCAGTCGAAGCATTCGATGATAGGTTTCCCGAGTATTGATTCGATTTCCAGCAAAGTTTGTACGAGAACTAAGCCGCGGATACCTCCTCCATCTAAACAGAGCAATCGACCACCTTTGATCTTTTTGTTTCCTTGCGTTGCCATTTTGTCCATTCCGGAAACGTGGAGCATTTGATCTAAGACTGTTCGTGGAACAACCTTCGGTGCTTGTTGCGGAGCGATACCGTCGAAGGTTTCGCCATGCTTGCATCCCAAACTGCAGTCGGTCATTTCCGGTGGACAACGTTGAGCACCGACAGCGTTCAAAGTGTATAGGATCTTTTGGCCTTCGTTGGAGTCGATGTTCACTCGATGCCGTGGGGTTTCAGACTTCCAATTCCTTGCGTCGATGTCTGCTCCGAAACATATCAAGCTTTGAACGATGGCCAGCGTGCCTTCCGAAACTGCTAAATGCAGAGGTGTGTTGCCATCCTTGTCGACAATGTTCACGGAAGCCATATGACTCAAAAGGGCCACCACACACGATAAACGCTTTCTCATCGCCATAATGTGTAATGCTGTTCGGCCGTCGAAGTTCAAGGAATCTATGTCGCAATTGCTCTCGATCAGAGCATTGATCACCTCCCTGCTTAGTGACCAATGTAACGGTGTGCCACCAAACTTCATATCTTCGGCGTGCAGCACATTCGGTTTACTGTGGAGAAAGTCACCCACGTAACTGGGACTAGAAGGTTGACCTTCTGACGCAGAAATATTCACGTCCGCTCCGATCAATAGAAGAGCTTTAACGCACTCGGGCTTATTATTTAGACATGCAACATGCAATGGTGTATGACCATTGCTGTTTCGGCTGTTTAGACTATTTGGAAGATCTCCTCCGAGTGCTAGAATTATTTCTTTGGTAGACGTTGCTGCAAAATGGTAGACGGTGTTTGCATTGTTATCCAAGTGTTCTAGGGAACTTTTAGCTTCTATCAGCATTTGTACGGTACGCAAATTATTAGTTTGCACAGCTACTTGTAAGGGAGACTGTCCTGTATCTATATCCCCACTGTTCAATTGGCTGTTCACAGCAGTGTGGGCAAATGCACCATAAAGGGCAAAGTGAGCTGCCAAGTGTGCCAATGTCCAAGTAGGATGTTCAACCAAAGTATCGCATAATTTTTGTATCTTATTCACATTACACATCTGTATAAATAAATTAAAATTAATTCTAATATCTCTATGAATTAAAAAGTAACCTAATAAATAATTTAGCTGATAGAATAAATATTAATTACCTCACGACAAATCTGAACTAGTACTGGAACCTTGTCTTTATATACAATGAAGTGTCCTTCCACCTGTGCTTTGTCCTCAGACCGATATAAACTATGGATAATAATGGATTTTTTAATTATTCGCTATATAGTATAGAAATGACGTATATGTATTAAATCACATACCTATACGCTTGATGTAACGTTTCTGTACAAGGTCTGTGAAGAACGATCTCAAATTTCTCATTATTTCGATCTCCTGGAGCGTAAAGTACAATGCCATCTTCTCGACACAAAATATGTCGATTACTGTAATTTTCAGGTTTAACTTCTTGAACAATGTTTGGTGGTACATCCGAAAAGACGTAATTTCGAAGAACGTTACTAGCGATTGTTCCAAGCCACGTCATTTTTTAAAATTTAGGTTATAGGCAGAAACGGCGATCGTGCTTTTCAACGGACTACAAACTAGTTCCGATGACTCGATGAATTACGTACATCCCGGTAAATGTTGTTATGACATATCATCGACATCACAAAAAATAAACGCAGCCATCCTTCCTCATTCTTCGAAGAAAGGGAACGAAACGCAAGAGTGGTATTACCAGTCCTCCTGCTTTTGCGTAAACAAACGTTTTGTAACAGTATTACCAACATAACGTAACATGTCAGTAGTCACGCGTCGAATCGCTCTGCTTACGTTTTCATTATTTTTGTAAGTACATGTAATTACATATATATCTGTATTATAGAATAGTTAAATGCACTTAATCTGATAAACTATGATGCAACAAAGCCCTCGTATGTTTTGGGTACAGTATAACAACGAAATTTAAATTCGTGTTGGGATAGAATTGCAAACACATCATTACTGTCAAGTCGCTAACACGCGCAATGCCTTTATTTTCAAACAAGTTTTCCCCAAAAAAGACGCCTACTAGAAAGGCAGGAATTTTCTTAGCAAATAAAGATTTTAGCCCGAAACGGGTCGAGAAGGAACTTGGACCGAACGTTGGACCCATACGATTAAAATTAGGAGATCAGGAAACTGTTTTCGAATCAGGTGTATGGATTCCGGGTAAAATACATAACTTTACTGTATTGATTCTTATTCAATTCGGATCACATATATGAAGCTTGTATTATTCCAGAATCTGGCAAGATTGGAGGGACATATAAGGAAAATGAAAAGCTAAAGAAAGAAGTGAAAAGATTAGAAGAAGAAAACAACCTATTAAAACTAAAATTTGAAGTACTTTTGGATATGGTTATTATTATTACTCAAATTTTTATATGTTTAGAAAACTCTTAATTATATTAGAATGTACTTCTTAGGTTAATATTACCTGTTTCAGTTAACCCAATCTACTGCAGAGTTTAATTCACAGAAGGAAGAACTAGGTAGATTAAAAAGAAATTTATCATATAACAAAAACAGTGATTCCTGACACAATTTATTATCTTAATTAATGTATTAATTTCTCCATAAGTCAGTCATAAAATATGACATTTTGTGTGTTTAATCAATCTGAATCCTCTTATTTGGAGCAGTATTAATGTGCATGTGTATGCAACTCAATTCATTCTTGTACAATTTATAATGTTAATACAAAATATATTTTAAAATTTACAAATTCTCTTTTGTTAATCCATTACATTTTCTGGACAAGTTTTTCTTGTGTGCCCTAAAGATAAATTTTCATACTCTAAGACATGTACCATCAATTTTCAGTATGTAATATTGTATAAATAAATTACCTTCTACTCCACAAATTCCGCATTTTCTCTTACCGCCACCAGGGCGACTCTGCTTTTTCGTGTTTTCTCGTTTCTCGCCTTTCCATTTAGTCGTTTTCCTACTGTTGCCACTAAATGTATTATTAAAATTCTCATTATTTTCATCCATCCATTGAAAGAAATTACAAGAATCATTCATTCCTTTAGGACACGAATAAAACAAACGTCCTTTGTTAGGACCTTCTTTCTGCACAGTGCGCCTACAATACGTATAAAGTATGTATCGTATGTTCAAAGTTTTAGGAACGTCATAAAAACATTTGCTTACTGTACTGCCGGTTGATTACAATGACATTTAACATCACCCCCCGATATTCTACTTGGTCCAGCCGTAATACTTTGGTTTAATCTCGCACTAAAATCGTTGCTTGCGACGTTTTGAGTTTGATTAGTATCATCCGATTCCCAAAGAAAGAAATCACACTCAGCACCTCGACGTGCGCATTTATAAAATACTCTTCCTAAAAGATACCATGAAGCAGTAGTAATATCGAATAGTACACGTACATAAAAAGGAAGAAGAAAGGAGAAAGATTCAAATGACTAAAAACAAAGAAAGGAGAAGAAAAGTAAAAAATAAGAAACATCTATACCCTGATTAGGCCCTTCCTTTCTTACGGTTAATTTCATCGCAGTTTCATTACATTTACACACAATAACGGAATCATCATCGATATGACCCCATGTTCTGGTCGATTCATTACTCAGTACTGTTGTACCAACGGTCGGCGGATTGGAATTATTGGTGCTATCGTACGTATTATTCTTCGCAGTAGATTGGTTCTTAGCTCTTGTATTACCTTTCGATCTGCTTGTCGTACTACGGTTACTACTTTGATTTCGAACGAGCCCTATAGACGTATTATTTTGAAATAAATTTGTTTTATTTCCAGCACCTCGAGAATGTCCAGTTTCGTTGTATCTTACGACGGTCGAATTTGAAACGACTGATGATCTTGACTCCTCGGACATAGTGTAGTAACCGCTTTCGTTTCTCTGGGAAATAGCTTTAACACTCTCATTTTTAATATTCAATGCTTCATTAAACATAGGATCACAACCACCTATGCAGGTTGTGTAAGAGGTACCATAAAGTGGAAAAGCATTTCTGGATAATTTAAACTTTAATTTGTGCCTATTTCCTGAACACTGAAATAATAAAATTTTTAATTTCAAATTACGCGCATAAAGTAACTAATAATATATAATATATATTATGTTTACTTGTGAACAAATTTCATCTAGAACTTCAACAGATTCAACGTTCTGTGGGAACCAAACCGTATTATTACATGTTGGAAAGTTTATACAGCCAATAAACTTGCCAGAGTCTTGCTTTTTCTCTTTAAGAATCATATCAAGACCACATTTAGGACACTTAAAGATAGTAGTATCTTGTGGTGGATTACTCATTTGTATATCTTGTGCTTCAACCGGTCGTTCATCAAGATAATCAGCTAAGGCACTATCGATTAAATTCGCCCGTTCCATTGCTACTTTAAACACTTCACGATACGTATTTATTTGAGTTTCTAATACAGCCGCTGGACTCTTTTGGCCTTCGCATACCCTAGGTAGAGAAACACAGAATTGATTTAAATATTCGAAGAATTCTTACAATGTAGATGATAAGTCATCAACGTACAATTTAAGATCTTTTTCTAAACCAGCTCTCAATTTCGGTTTCGACATTTCAAATCCCATACTATCATAACCCATTACTAATCCAATTCCAAGTTTCCCAGGTATCAAATGTTTCCCATCCATCAGACCTACATATTGACGCGATTTTATCGTATCTATATGTTCAGCATGAGTGGCATCAGTACCGATGCCATATTTATCCATTAAACTAATTAAATCAGCTTCGGTCAACAACTGCGGCGGGGATGTTTCTTCTTGTATCATATCTATACTAGTTGGTCTAAAAACTTGTCCTTCTTGATACGCGTAAATTTCCTTATCGCTCCATTTCTCATAAATATATACATTTAAATAATTTTTTTCGATAATTTGAAGGCCGTTAGCAACGAACTTTTCTCCGGCTATGTCAATCTCTACCACTGTTTCTCGGCCGATGGCATTGTCCGATAAACAAGCCAAAAAGTGTCGAACAACAAATTCATAAACTTTAGCTTCATCACCTGTGATTAAATAATTCATTATGCCTAATTTCAAAGACCGTCAATAATACAAATTGAAAAATCAAAATAATTGCATTCATACCTTGTAAATTATCTGCACATTTTGTTGGATGTATAGGAGGATGTGCCTGATCACTTTTTTTTCCTTGTCTAGGATGCAATCCTTTCTCTAATAATTGTTGTGCAAAGTTTCCCCAAAGTGGATTATTTACTTGCTGATTTACAAAAGGAACTAAATTTAACTCTTTTGGAAATATATTTGTTTCTGTACGCGGATAACTGATAAAACCTTGAGTATATAATTTTTCTGCAATTTTCATAGTCTGTTTTGCAGTTAACCTAAGCTTTCGAGAACCTTGTTTCTCCAGTTCCTAGATTTATTTAATTTAATAAATTATATCATACTTTCGTTATTTAACTCATCATTATGTTACTTACAACTGTGTCCAATGGTACAGGTCTCCATTTACTGGTAGGCTTACTTGTTACCTTTTGTACAGTGGCATTAGGCTGTTCAAGACACATGTCCAAGAAAACTTCACAAGGCAATTTTTCAAATAATCTTCCTCTTGCCCACCTGAAGTCTACACTAATATTGTCACGGGTATCTTTTACACTGATTTTCCAATATGGCTCTGGTTTGAATCTTTCTACTGCTAAATATCTTTCGACTACAAAACCTAGTGTAGGAAACTGGCAACTGCCATAACTGATCAACATATCAGACAGAGTTCTAGGAAATACTTTTTGAAGTCTCAGTGTCTGAAATCTTGTAAATGCAGCCCCTACAAATATTAGTTATCTTGAATTATCTATTTACTCAGAATTAACTGAAGCAATAATATTAATTACCTATCCTTAAATCTAATTGCATTCGCACATCAACAGCATCATTAACTGCTTTGTTTGGCTCGCATAGATTCTGGAGAGCTCTATTTATAGATGCTTGTGTAATTTCAGAAAATTTTGCTCTATAAAAAGTTATATATTTACAATTTAGTAAAATAATATGCTATCATGTATTAAGAATTTATTTTACCACCTATATACAGAAATATTAGGTTTAACTGCTTGACAGACTTGAATGATTTCAAAACCTATGTTTTCTCCTTCACGATCACAATCTGTCCAAATAATTAATGCATTGCACTTTTTCACTTCTCTTTCTAAAGTCTCTTTGATCTTCAAAGAAGTTTGCTCTATGCATTGTTTTGTTACAGGTGCATCAAATAAACTTAACGGATGACAACTTTGCCATTTTCGATATGCACTAACAAACTGAAAATCCAACAAATGACCTGATACAGAAGTCATAATCATATCACAATTCTGATTCCACACTTGTGATTTGAATTCATAAATTTTATTATACGGAGACAGCCCTTCTCTCTGTAGAATAAAAGATAGGATTAGGCAATATCTCTAAGTAAAATCTTGTATATTTTATTAGTAAGAATTCCCAAGTTACCCGTTTACTAGTACCACGGGATAAATAGCCAGCGATGTTTTTCGCAGCATCATTTTTTTCCGCAACATTCAGAACTTTCATTACCTCAACGGAACTGTTGAATCTTGCGAAAAATAAACAATATTGTTGTAATTTACACAAATTCACCTTTGCAATATCACTTCCTTTTGTAAAACAATTAATGTAATAAAGATAATGCAACATAATTGATTCCTGATCCTGAAAGGTTGTAAACAATTTATATGTAAATTAAATATTGTCACAAACTAAACTAAAATTAGTTATATCTTTAATATATGTATATACTTTAAAATCATTATAATGTTTAATGAGTACAATTCATATTATTTTAAACTTCTTTATCATATTCTACATATTATCTGTAAAAAAAGCAGTTAACTTTTAGTCACTTTCAATTACCACCGTTGACATAACTTGGCACTTTCAATCATGTCGAGCAACATGTGAAATCTAGTGATATAATGATTTCTATGGAATACAAATTATAGATGATTCAATAATCATTGATGATTATATGTTGTTTATTTAAAATACGGTTTATTAACAGATTGGATCTATTTTTATAAATTAACATTGTTATAATGAATGTTTTTAACGAGTACCAGTAACATTTTTGTTGCAAACGTTGCATGTTTGTTGTTACAAGAAAGAAAGAGCTAGAAGTAGCAGTAGACATTTTCAGAATTTTGCACAATAACTTTAGATTTGATACGTCTTTGTCAAGGCATGCGTAAGTTATTAGCGTAGTGGTTTAAATAATACACGTAATCCATGGAGTGAGTTTACATTTTGCGAAGAAAGTGCTGAATACATTAAATACTTGATGTTCGATAATATTTTCACCGTATATAATCTCTTATTTTGTTCTCTCTCTTGGCAACAATCGTTGCAGATCAACGTGGTTTACAACGTTTCTTACATTTTATCCAGAGTCGAATCGTTTAAAATTTTATTAAAACATCGTTGATCTTAGTTGAATCGTTCGACTTCGTATGTAGCAACATATCACTGACCAGTTTTGTAACTTTATGAAACTCCATCATTGTATAAACAAATATGTTAAATTTACAATGCGTTATTTTATTATTTTTGTTCCAGTGACGTTGTTTTAATCAGTTGTTTCAAAAGAAGCCAAACATGACGGAGGACATGTTAGGTGCAGATATCTGTAGGGTCTGTCGCTCTGAAGGCCTTGCAGATAGACCTCTGTTTCATCCTTGTATTTGCACAGGCAGTATTAAATGGATACATCAGGAATGTTTAATACAATGGATGCGTTATTCACGTAAAGAATATTGTGAACTTTGTGGATATCGTTTTTCATTTACCCCAATTTATAGTCCAGACATGCCACGTCGTGTACCATTGAAAGATGTGATTGGTGGATTAATTTCTAGCATCGTAAGAGCAGTAAAATACTGGTTACATTATACTTTGGTCGCAATTGCTTGGCTTGGTATTGTTCCATTGACTGCATGCAGGACTTACAGAGCTTTGTTTAGTGGACCTCTTGATCTAGTTAGGGCAAGTATTTTCACTTAAGAATATTAAATATTCAAGTAACATAATGCTTAATAAACTACAACAAAATATATAATGCATTTATATTTCTGTTTACAGATAATGTCATTGCCAATGGACATTTTGTCTACAGAAAATATATCTTCAGATGTGTTTCACGGATGTTTTGTAGTCACCTGCACTCTGTTTGCATTTATTGGTATTGTATGGTTACGAGAACAAATTTTACATGCTGGAGGTCCTGATTGGCTTGAAAGGGATAATGTACAATTGCCCCCTGTTGATAATCCACCACCTCATGTAGAAGTTCCTGCACAACAACATCAAGAACAAAGAGCTCTTCGACAACAAGAGATACAAGACAATAACAATGTTCCACCTTTTGTTGATGACCCACCAATTCTGCCCAATCACTCAAATAATGATAATTTGAGAAATGTAGAAGGGCAAAGAGCAGAGGAAATTGATTTGTCTAATAATCAAAGAATAGGTGATGGGGAGGGAATTGGTGGTAGAGACGTTGAACAGCACATAGCCGATAGAAGCGGTGCTGAACAACAAGTAGAACAACCTCATAGAGATATGGAAGCTAGAAACGTGGAACAACCAGTACCACCTAGAGACGAATTGGCTGCAGACGCTGAGCAAGCAAATGTGGGAGGTGGTGAAGGATGGAGAGATCAAGTTCAAGGTCAAGCACAAGGAGAAGCAGAAGAAGCAAACTGGATTCCATTGGAGTGGGACAGACCAGCAGAAGAATTGACTTGGGAACGTCTTTTAGGTCTAGACGGATCCCTCCTTTTTCTGGAACATGTATTTTGGGTTGTTTCGCTAAATACTCTATTTATTATGGTATTTATCGTAATATTTTAGTGCACACAAGATACGAAACAATTAATTTTATTCGTGTCGCTGTAATTTAGAACGTCATGTTTTTCTATTCTAGGTGTTTGCTTTCTGCCCGTATCACATCGGTAGTTTTGCCATAACGGGTCTGGGATTACAAGAGTACGCGGCTGCATCACACTTCGAAGGATTAGTTACTACGTTATGTGGTTATTGTGTCATTGGAGTCTGTTTGGTAGTTCTTCATACGCTGGCTGCCCTTTTAGGGTTCCAACGCTCTCAGCGTATATTGGGTTTATGTTACGTCATCGTAAAAGTTTCTCTGCTAAGCGTCGTCGAGATTGGTGTACTTCCTTTGGTTTGCGGCTGGTGGTTAGACATTTGTTCGTTAGCAATGTTCGACGCCACGCTTAGAGACAGGGAATCTTCATTTAGGCTAGCCCCTGGTACCTCAATGTTCATACATTGGCTGGTAGGAATGATTTATATATACTATGTTGCTTCGTTTATTTTGCTGTTACGAGAAGTGTTGCGGCCAGGAGTGTTATGGTTTTTAAGAAATCTGAACGATCCAGATTTTTCTCCTATCCAAGAAATGATTCATCTTCCAATTTTAAGACACGTAAGAAGACTTGTGACATCCGCGGTTATATTTGGAACCGCTATTTTATTAATGTTATGGTTACCAGTGAAACTTTTAAGATGGGCTTGGCCAGGATTTCTACCATACACAGTGACTGTTCAAAGCGAAGCTCAGGTAATAAAATATAACAATAATTATTCTTTATCAATTTATCAACTCTTCTGTTACCGATCACTTTACTTTCAAATCAGGTCAGCGAATTATCATTAGAACTGCTACTACTTCAAGTCATTCTTCCCGCACTACTGGAACAATCGCATACGCGAACATGGTTGAAAGCTTTGATAAGAGGCTGGTGCCGAGTGGTAGCCTGGATATTAGATATTCAGTCGTATCTTTTACGAGACCAGACCGAAGATCCGGACCCAGCAGTAATCGAAGAACCTCAACATCCAGATTTAGGTGCCGCACATCAAGCATTATCGCAACGAGAAGCACCTAAAGGATTTCAACCGTATACCAGACCACGGTGGTTCCCTGCTCGGCTAGTTGGTCTTTTATTTTGCGTTTGCATTTCTCTTGTCATTGCTAGCTTAATCGCAATGACTCTTCCTGTTTGGCTTGGACGTAGAGTTATGGCCTTATGGATGGTCGGAGCTCCGGCTCCGTCTCCGCCGGTCTTACCACCTACTTTAAGTGGATCTGGTAAGTTGGTCATCTTCATTATAGTCGACTTTATATTTTTGTCCATCTTTGAATAACATTGTTTTTTTCCCGTAACTTTTTAGAAACTAACGAAGCAACAGTTGCTCTATCTGGACGAGTACATGAGGTGTACACTGTGGCATGTGGAACGTATGTATGTTGGGCCGCTGCAAGAGGATTAGCTTTAGCATATTTCTGGTTACCTCGTGGTCGAAGAGCTGTTCTAGACAGAGTAAAACATTGGGCAATCATAGGAGTCAAAGCATCGGTAGCATTTTTCCTACTTGTTGGCCTAATACCGCTTTTGTTTGGTCTCCTTCTTGAATTAGTCGTTGTAGTACCTTTACGCGTACCATTAGAACAAAATCCCATTTTGTTTATCTGGCAAGATTGGGCCTTGGGTGTTTTATATACGAAGATAGCAACCGCTATTACCATGATGGGGCCAGACTGGAGGATCCGTCTTGCGATTGAACGAGCATACAATGATGGTATTAGGGAAATAGATTTAAAATTTATTGTAACGGAATTAGCAGCGCCGGTAATATGTTGTTTTGGTCTTGCTTTGGCTGTTCCCTATGCCGTAGCTTACGGAATTATACCGCTTCTGATCACAAATTTACAAACGCAAATACTTATCGCTAGACATTTATATCCTTTCCTTTTACTAGTAAGTTTGGTGTGTATTGTTATCTATTTCCAAATCCGACAATTCAAAAAACTTTATGAACACATAAAGAACGATAAATATCTCGTTGGGAAAAGACTCGTAAATTACGAACATCGAAATAAATCTCAATCGCAACAACAGCCACAAGCATCAAGCTAACGCCCTAGGTATAATTATTTCTTAACGGTGATGTGAAATTAACGAAAAATTCTTTGATGTACATTCTCGCGCTTAATTATAACAAGCGTTAACTTATGTTAATTATACTTTAATACTTTCTATTATAATTTATTGATGTAAGCGATACTAAATAAATTAAAAAGACTGTTATTCGATGTATCGCTTTTGCGTTTGATACATTGCTGAATGCTGATATTTTTTTATTCGAATTAACGAAGATACATTGCTTGAAGATACACAACAATCAACATCTTGTGCGGTAACGAATAGATACGATTTCAAGAAATCTAAGATCAAAGTTGTTATTTCTTTTACTACTGATTGAATAAATCATTTTTTGAGTAGATTGTGAGTAAATGAATATTTGATCTTTCAAGATAACGCGTACAAAATTTAATCGAAGTTGCATCACGCGTTTAGAGTCATTATGAAAGTAAAACTACGTTTTAACTGAAAATTTGTTAGTTACGAAATAACATAGACATATTTTACTGTACAACATTAACGTTTAACATAGACTTGTATGAAATTAAAGAGAAAAATTTATACTCTGATCATAATAAAATCAAGTCGTATTTCTAACTCCTCTAATGTGATAAATTTCAACAATTTCGGCTAATTATTTCCTACTTTATGCGTGGTATACATAATTTTATGTACAAAGTTAGATACAAGTAAGCATTATTTATTTGTATACGTACTAATTGTTTAGAAACGAACGAAAATAGCCGACTATAAACATGTAAAGACATTTCCGCGATGTACATTAAAACACATGTGAAATAAAGAATATCCTTGAGAAGAAATCAAATTTATTTCTTTACTGTTTTAAAATAAGCATTTTTTCCAAAATATATTTTTACAAAATAATTTCATCTTTTTATTTAATCATGATCCAATTGCTTTAAAATCACCACTTAAAGTTCAACATAATATCATATTAGCAATTATTAGCAAAAGAATGTATATGATTCAAAATATCAATCACATGCAAATGTCGTATAAACAATATGTCCACAATGATTATTTCAAAAGGTATTTCACAACATAAATTATTATGGTTCTATTTCTTGATTCGGTGGTAAAATGGTACCGATTAATTGAAATAAGTCGGGGTGTTTTTCAACCCGTAAATATAATAAAGTAAAAATATTTATTACCTGAAAATGGTAGGCAAATTAATATTTTCTTATTACTTTGTCTATGTTATATTTACAACGTCGATAATACATTTTTATATTACCTGAGTAAAAGACGTTTGTTTCCAAGAAACACGTATCGTTGAAACTGAACACTCTGAAGAGTATTCTATATCCATCAAGTCCTTTAATTTTGAAAGAAAAATCCTTAATTTTATACCAACGTGACACAGTATAACGTCTATAAAATTCTCTGTTACACTTAACACGATGCCCATAGTAACGATAGGACCGTTTAAGTCAATTAAATACGTAAAGTACAATTCATTACTTCGTTCTTGAGCCATTTTTGCGTTGTACTTTTTTAAATTACAATTTGCCGCTATTCTATTACGATAAAAACACAAACATTAAAGGTACAATATTTTTATACCAATCGGTTTATCTCATTTTCTTCTTAATAATCGACTTACTCTTTACACAATTTTTCTGACCATGTTTCGGGCAACGTTATGTTCTGCATAGTCCAATAAAGTAAACGATGTACTACGCAATCTGAATATCGTCTAATTGGAGAAGTGAAATGTGTATAAAGGGATACGTTCAAAGCATAATGTTTCAAGTCCTCCTCACTCTTAACTGTTGATGAACATTTATAGGTTGCACGCTGTAGAAAGTAGACATCATTAGAACCAATAAAAAGGAGAAAGGAAGATCATAAAAATGAAGGAAATAATCGTACAGCCATAGCTTTAGAACAAAGATTGTTGATGACCATCATTCTGTATTTCATCGTTGTTTTAATCTCGTTATTTTCAGACTCTAACTCTTCCTCGTATCGTTTAATACTGGCGTGTAAAGAAGCAGATGATTCGATATCTAAATGAATTCCAAATTTTTCCAGAATGTCTTTGGTCGTATTGAGAATATATTGTGAGGGTTCTCTATGATTACGCAACAAAGCAGTATCAGGAATAGTATCGTACAAATAAGTAGCAACCGTCATATTAGCTAACAACATAAATTCTTCTATAAGTCTAAAACATATGTACGTATGAATAGATATGTAATGGAAATTAAATTATTTATACATGTTCAAAATATCGACTTCAAAATATAAATACCTGTTACTATCTTTAAGTTCTTCTATACTGTATGATATTGGTAAACGCGTAATTGGATCAAGTGTAACATGTAATTTTGGTTGATCTATTCGCAGCGCTCCATTTTTAAATCTTTTATCACGCATCTGAATAGCTAAACTATGCAAAATATTTACTTTCGTCGATAAGTCTTTAAGATTAAAATTTCCCTTCACCCTTAGAAACTTGCGAGGCCAATTCTTTTTTGGATTTTCTATGAATTCCTGTGCGTGCCGATAAGCCATTTGGCAACAGGACCTTATTACTGTTTTAGCGAAACGATGACTGACAATTTCGGCATTTTGTGTCATTTCCCAAATGACAGAAAAGGCCAATTTATCTTGGCCTGGCAACAGCGAACATACTTCGCATAGTTGCTTAGGTAACATATGATATACATTGTCCGTCATGTAAATAGTCGTTGCCCGTTTTGAAATTTGAATATCTAACGGCGACAAGAAGTCTAGATAATGAGTAACGTCCGCTATATGTACACCGATCTGTAATTTAAGAAATACACGACATAACATAAACTGAATATGCATATGCAATTATTGGATAAAAAATAGTTTCTTTAATATTGAAAAATTGCCTCATAATTTTTATTTTCTAAAATTTTGCAAGAAACTGCATCGTCTAAGTCAACTGCTGTATCAGGATCAATTGTAAACACACATTCATCTCTCCAGTCTTCTCTATTTTTTATGTCATTTTCTGTTAAAGAATAATCACTGTTAGGGAGTCCTTTCATCAGAATAGGGCTGTAAGGTGTTACATCTAAATCATGTTCGAGTAATATTGCATTCGACTCGGCTTCTATATCACCCATACTTCCGACTATTTTTTCAATTTTCCTGTAAACAATATAATATCTTAACGATCTCTATAATCTATCGATTTCATAGATCGATAAATTATTGGCATACCCATATGCAAATTGAGGCATTATCCAATTAACTAAAACAGCTAGGTACAATGTATCATCACAACCATCTACAAACGAGGTAAACCGCTGCACCGATTCCTGATGTATTTTAAGCAACGGAACTCGTTGGTCTCTTGGATAAAAAAATACCGACGAATCACGTCGTTTTAAGTAGCCAATTGCTTTCCTTGGATGTATCTTTTCTCTTATACAAACAACAATGCCTGTTTTCTGTATTTCTCCCCGATGCATTTGCCATTTTTCTGTAGGATGTATACGGACTACAACAAAATCACCGTCCAAAGCACGATTTCTGTCCCTTATACCGATAATCAATAGATCACGTTCACCATTACAAGATAAAAAAGCATGTTTGTTGTATCTAGAGTTAATACGTATGTATCCTTCTACATATTGAGCATCTGCAGAATTTTGAGGTTTTAAAAATTGATCAATTTTGTCTATAGGAATATATTTTGGAAATGTCTGTTTTTCTTTTATGGGTTTAGATTTTTTAACTTCAATTTCATCCTCCTCAATTATGTCAGAAGAAACAATATTTTTGCTTTTCTTTTTATTTTGTTTTTTACAAACATTCTGCATTTTCTAAAAAAATTAAATATACTTAAATTATTCATACTTAATACAAGATTAGAAAAATATAACTCCAATACCTTTTCAGAAATTTGTTTTGTGACATTCCGACAATTATCTTTATTATTTATTGCCTTTTGTCGCAGTTTAGAACACTGAGGTATTGCTTCGTTTTGGTTGCAACTGACTTTATGAGCAACTTTTATAGGAAGTACTGGTTGGTGCGTAACACCAGAATTTGAAGAAGTTGACTCTTTTGACATGATTTCAATCTTTTACGTATAACCACTTGTTTAAATATACATGAAAATTAATCATGAAAAATATGATGAACATAACCATTAATATCACATAATAATACGTTATTTAAATATAATATAAAAATACATACGGTGATGCTGATTTATGTACATGAAGAAGTAAGTAAAAAGTACGGTTTAATAACAACTTTGTTACAGCATGTACTATTATCATTGATAAGATTCCAATTATTAAAAAGTGACATATTGCATTTAATCACCAGCGGACTATAAACCTAATAAAAATATAATCCCGACTTAACAAAGGTAATAACATCACCTTTCATTCGACGTCATGTTGATTTTTGAATTAATTTTAATCATCTATATAAATTTTACGATTTTAAAACGACGCAAACTAAAACTCATCTACCAATTTTGAATCTTAATTGTGAAGTTTAGTAGCTTGTGAAGTCATTAGAAGTGTCACGTTTGTTATCAATATCCAGTTAAAAATGGACAAATTTAAAAGGAGCAGATGTAAAGTTAGATATATCTCCGATAAGTTGTTTATAAGTAAAATAAACAGCGACAATGGCAACACAGTAAATTCGTAATGTAACCCAACCGTGCCGAGTCACGTAGGTATATTTGATCATAAACGTTGGCAGAATTTGATTCGAGTTCGATCACGTGCGTGGGGAGATTTTCTAGTTGGCAAGTATGTATGTGAGACGATTGGACTAGTTGGGAAGTAGGGTGGTGAGAGGTGTAGGTGGAAGAGCGTCGCGACGGGCAGCGGTGGAAAAGTGAGGTTGTTTCGATCGGTGGTAAAGTAACAGGATCGTTCACGCAGTCCGAAGAAAGAGTGTAGTCCGAGAGGAGCAGAAGGGTCGAAGGTGGAACATAGAAAAAGAGAATAAATCGAGTACTTAAACCGTGCACATTATTAAAAGATTTTGAAGATTTTAGACCCAGAATAGAGCGACTGCAACGAAAATGTTTCACGTGAAAAAACTAACAAGATCGTCGATCGCCTTGAAGCAAGTGCCGAGCAATGACATCGTTCATAATACTTTGATTCGTATCCTACCGGCGTTTCAAGCACGCGGCTATGCCGACCATCAAATACCCGAACGACTGAAGAATATTCCTGATGATCCAAACCCAAAATTTTTCGACATGGTCGAATATTTCTTTCACCGTGCTTGTCAGATCGTAGAAGATAAATTGGTCGAGGATATTGGCAAACGTTCGAGGATGAGCGTGGAAGAAAGGAAGAAAAAGGTGAAGGGTATCTTGATGCTCATGGAACCATGTGATCATATTCTCGAAATCTGTTTTCCCTTGAGACGCGATTCAGGCGATTACGAGATGATCACTGGCTATCGCGCACAGCATTCAACCCATCGAACGCCGTGCAAAGGAGGTAAAATGAATTTGACCATCACTTGTATTCGAATCTTTCAAGTTATCCTTCAAATCATTTATGATCGCGCCTTCGCAAACTATTTTTTTTCTCTCACAATGGTAACTTAAACGTTGCGTGCATTTAAATGTTAATATGTATTAGCGTATACGGCCAGTGTTGCCATAAAATAATACTTTTTCGATGTTATGTAGATTACCTATCTCTACTTAAATTTATATCGGATACGCACATCAATTACGTCATCGACGACGACACGTAGCGTAGCGAGTTAAAAAGAGTTTCAGATCCTTCGGTCTACTCAGAAAAGTTTCAGTTTGATCCTGTATAATATTTCCATTTAATTTTTTCAAATTCGCTACAGTTGATTAGTTACTTTTATGTATTCATTGTACCACCTACCATCAGGCTCGTAACACGAGACAATTTTACGGCTTCGTATGTTGTAACGCGGTTTTAACCTCGATTCTGGAGGACAGCTCAAAAATGCGCCTAATACTACTGGATACATAACGATCATTTTAAAACGATTCTCTACGCTCTATATTATCTTCCAATTACATACACTTGCTAAAATATTTAAAAACTCATTTAAAAACAAGTTTTGTTTACTGCATGCGATTGGTTCATAAACCGGTAGTTATGATAAGTTGCTAACATTTACATTTTCTTCTAACTGATACGTTTGAATACGTTCCCGACATATTACTCACGAGTATCATGTTACGTTGATTAAGCACTGGCATATATTTATGTTGTGACGTACGATATCAATTAAAATTTTTTAAGCGATACTCTGTATCATATAACACGAAGCACAAAATTCATGGTAAATAGATAACTAAATAAAGAGAGTAGATATATATGTAAATTTTTTCGATCTTGACTTTGCAGTCACGTGCGGCTCCTCGACGATAATATCGATAGTTGTGAAGTGTTTTCATAGTCGATGCTTATCGATTAAACGATGTAATACTCTTGTCTTATCTGTACGACTATTTAGGGTTAAGTTGACCGCACGTGTTGCGAAATTAGAAGTAATTATACGAAAAGGTTGTCTTTCTTGTAGTTAAAAGAAGCCAGCGACATTGCTCATTGCTAGTGATGCCAAGCTGTCTACTCGTTTTCTTCTTCCCTGCCAAATATTAGCTAACTACCTTGATTCGTAATTTAATTTAAGCGCTTGGCAATCACGTATATCGTGCCAATGTCATGAATGACAACTCGAAAGGTCAATGCTCTCGTGGAAGCAACATTCGATTTTAAAATGCATTTATCGCCCACAGATTTCAGGACAGTAATTTACTTGCAACAGCACATCTCACGCGCTAAAAATATTTCTGTTGCGTAAACGTTAGGCAAATACATCGATCGGGTATAGCTTCCAGATGTTATTTAAAAAAGTCATTAACGAGGTTACTCGGTCACTAAGGACACTAAGAATAAGAAGCGGACAAAGAGAAGCCATCATGTAACTGTTTCCGAACCGCGGTGTCTATTTGCATAACGTTCGTTGCTCTGATTGTCCTTCAATTTGCAACTTCTCTTTCGCTTTTTCATTCGAGATCGAAATAGTAATTTCTTACGTACATCTACACGTACACGGACATTTCAGAGTTACCGCGTGTTAAAAGCGTCCACACGTGATGTTGTTTTCGCGGACAAAAATTCGTTATGTAATTTGTTTAAAGAAATCACCGGGTTATTTTGAGCTATAGAATTTTGCGAAACATTGTCTCTTGTTTATCGTTCGAAATCGATCACGGGTTTTGACGATATTAATCGGATAAACTTGATTTGTAACTAATTATAGTTGACTAATTCACGCTTTCCGTATTTTACATCCCGTATCAAACGAGACCGTATCGATTGCGAAATTACCCAATGTAAACAAAATCTTATCGGTTACTTACCGTTACTTCATCGACTCGACACGTTATCACCAGACGGAACAAATCTCTCTGAAAATTTCACCGTTGCGGAATCCGAGATATTGCACTGTACTTATCGTTCCTTTTTTTTTAGGTATCCGTTTTTCGATGGACGTTTCGCGCGACGAAGTGAAGGCCCTGTCTGCGTTAATGACTTTCAAGTGTGCCTGCGTGGACGTTCCCTTCGGAGGGGCGAAGGCTGGTATCAAGATTAATCCGAAACTCTACTCCGAACATGAACTTGAAAAAATTACTAGGAGGTTCACTTTGGAACTCGCGAAGAAAGGATTTATTGGTGAGGACGTCGAACAGTATTGAGAACTGTTTCTTTGTAAATCAATATACAAAAGCTTTGAATTTTTATAGGACCGGGTCTCGACGTCCCTGCCCCCGACATGGGAACCGGAGAACGTGAAATGTCTTGGATCGCGGACACTTACGCAAAGACTATAGGCCACTTAGACATCAACGCTCACGCCTGTGTCACTGGAAAGCCCATCAATCAAGGTGGAATTCACGGTCGTATATCTGCAACCGGTCGTGGTGTATTTCACGGATTGGAAAACTTTATCAATGAAGCTAACTATATGAGCATGATCGGTGAGAAATTGATAGCGAATAAGAAATGTTCTAAGAAATAAATTTACAATTATTAATTGCAAATAGGTACAACGCCTGGTTGGGGTGGCAAGACGTTCATCGTGCAAGGTTTCGGTAATGTCGGTCTCCATTCAATGCGTTATCTGCACCGTGCCGGTGCCACTTGCATAGGTGTAATCGAACACGACGGTGCTATCACTAATCCGGAAGGCATTGACCCGAAGGTAAGCTCCGTGAAAAGGAGAAAATGCCTTTATCGTAAAGAATTTAATTAGATTTTTGTCCGTAGCAACTGGAAGATTATCGCATAGAGAATGGTACTATCGTTGGTTTCCCTGGTGCTGAGCCGTACGAAGGTGAAGGTCTTATGTTCGAGGAATGTGACATATTTATACCCGCCGCGGTTGAGCAAGTCATTACCAAAGAAAATGCTGGTCGCATTAAGGTGAAGAATGTTCTTCCGATTTCTATTTTGATACTAATTTTTATATACTGAACGAGACGTTTCTGTTTAGGCTAAAATCATTGCTGAAGCTGCCAATGGACCAACTACGCCTGCTGCCGATAAGATTTTGATTGATAGAAATATCTTGGTTATACCAGATTTGTACATGAACGCCGGTGGTGTTACAGTTTCCTTCTTCGAGTGGTTGAAGAATCTCAACCATGTGTCTTATGGTCGTCTTACTTTTAAATACGAGAGAGAATCCAACTATCATCTGTTAGGTAGCTATAGGCACATTTTTATTAAGATTCAGATACAACGAACACGTGCAATATATCTCAATTTCTTGTAGAATCCGTACAGGAATCGTTAGAACGTAGGTTTGGCCGAGTTGGTGGTCGAATTCCCGTTACTCCTTCCGAGGCGTTCCAGAAGCGTATCTCTGGTGCTTCCGAGAAAGATATCGTCCATTCCGGTCTAGATTACACGATGGAAAGATCTGCCAGGGTACCGTTTTCTTTGACTTCATTTCACTCGGTTTTATTCCGCTTACCTCCATAATTTTCATTGTTCTTTTGCAGGCAATCATGAAAACCGCTATGAAATACAACCTTGGTTTGGATCTGAGGACAGCTGCCTACGTTAACTCGATTGAAAAGATATTTACCACTTACTCCGAAGCAGGTCTTGCGTTCTAAACGCAAAGTATTCAATTATGCAAAGCAGGTCGCATTGATCGAGATCAGTAACGGAAACGGTAACGAGACAACTGTAAAAAGTTGTAAGACAGTATTTCGAAAACTGCTCACGATTTATTTTCCTCGGCTAATACTGTCCAGTCCCATAGCGACAAAGACCAAAACTAGCTGTGGAAATACTTCGTGCGCATCGATCGTCGTGTGCTAGGTTTTTCGAACGCATCGTAATAATTTGCCTAATCAACTCCCTTGCGCAGGTACACTGTACCTGTGTGCCCCTGTAAGCGTATACACTGCACATACATACATAAGACGTTGAAATCGAACCGAATTCCAAGTACAAAGAGGATGTAACATTCGAAAGACGAAACATTCGCTTGCTCCTCTGTGAATAGAACAGTTACCCGAACTCAAGCTCGGACAGTAACGGCACGCCAGTGCATTTTTGTATTTCACTTTTTACATCTGATGTATCTGGATATTAGGGTTTACTCAAGAGTTGTTTAAACGCTGAACGTTCTTAATCATAAGGTTTCAATTACACGGATATTATGTTTCGCTGTTATTCCATATGCCTGAAGAACAGTTTACAGTTATTTATAATAAGGATTTGTTTTTACGATTGAAATACGCGATCGAAAAACGCGATGTATCATACGATGATATTGTTATAAGTTTCAAGAGTATGTCAATAAACGTATGCTCTTAATTAATCAATTAAATTTCTTTTAACCTTCTCCTTAAATTCTCTATCGCCGACTTTTAGTTACATATTTTCTTTCGAATCGATATTTCGTATGACACATGAGAGTGGCATGTCATGAGTAAGTGTCTCATTACAAACAAGCATGAGGCAAACATTTATCCAAATTTGTGTCAAGCGTATTTACTAAATATAACAACGAGTCAGGGCGAGTTTAATATTGCGTTTATAGATAGAACGTACAATGACTGAATATTTTAGTCATCGTTACGCAACGGGTATACCTGCGTGAAGTCAAAATCTCTTAATGCGAAACTTTGTGTGAATCAACGGCAAAAACGCGTTACTATTCTTTTACGAAAATTCTGTTCAGATTAAAATCGTCGAATGCATTTCGATTCTTTTGGAGTGTATTTTCCGTCGGCTTTGATTCAGAAAAAATGAGCCATCAGGTCTGATCGGTTGGCCGACTATGTATTTTCCTATACTACTAGTTAGGGCGGCGGCCGTCCTCGTATAAAGCGTCACGGCATCGCGACGCTCCCTTCATTCGTCTAAGTAGTTCTTTCAACAGCGCTCAACAATTGACGCAAGGTGAATACGTGTTTTTTTGTTAATCCACGTTTTTCGCATTCTTCGCGATTACATTCAAATACTGCACCGCAAAACCGACACCCTTTTTCTTTCGATTACCTGAGAAATCTGATTATTAATCAAATATAGTTTAATGTATAATGTACAAATGTTTATTGGGTGCTTGATAAACATGCGTTTGATTGAATATGCGTGACAACAATTTTCTCATGAAAGGCGGGAAAGATCACATCGGCATTTTGAATTAGCGCGTGGCGAAATTCAAATGCGTGCAATCGAACACCGTTTAAAAGGGGTTGAACTGATAAATCATCTAGCACCAAAAGATATTTTGTTAGAATTAATTTAAGTTTCAAAGTAAAATTTAAGTATAAACATTCCACCGCTATTGTGGATTTTGCGTTACATTTGTATAAAATAAACCTTAAAATTTGATTTCATTCAGGTGGCGAGATTCGACTCCCGTGTCAAACCCATTGACATGTCCATTCCTATGGCAAGCATAAGCAATGGAAACGGATCAACGGTACAGATCAACACGCGACCCGATGACATACAGAATCGCATAATCGGCTGTGAGTAATAATTTACGATTTTATGTATTAAATACCGCTGGCATTTGAGTTGAAGTAGCTTATAGCTTAAGCATACACGTATGTCATTATATCAAATTCGGCAAGAGCACCACGTGTAACAAACTCAACGAGCCGCTTACGCTGCATAAAATATTACTCGAGTGTAAAGAAGGTCAGATATGTCTGTACACACTAGTTGCCACAAGGTGAGCTTTGCAAGAACGTTGAAGGTCGTCAATTATTCTATGATATTTCGCACATTTACGGACCTTGGGAAATAATCGTGCATCGATTTCTGCGTATACAAATTATGCAGTTTAATTCTCCAGCCAACGATTCTTCGTACAGAAACAACAAATTAGACGTCACTTTCCAACAGTGACAACCCATATATTAGTCTAGCGAACTTGAGTTGTTTGGCATTAAACTTGCGCGAATACAATGGAGTATAAACACGCAGTTATTTTTATCGTCGAATCGATAGAAATATCTCGAGGAAATATCAAATACATACGTGCATTTGTATAATTGGAATGAAATTGGAAAAATAACAGTCCTTTGGCAAAGTCCATCTTCAGTCTCGAACAGATCAGCTGTCCGAGAAAACAAATAATCGATGATGGGGCAAGGAACAACGAGATGGAACGAAAAGGAAAACTGGCCGTTGAAAGCAAGAAATGTTGGTGGGTGTACACGTATCGCGCATGCTGGTCCGATTAAAGGGAGAACGTATGCGCGTATACACAGAAACACCAAGGAAAATACGGGAGGAAAGGAGAGAAAGAAAACGGGATATGGTTAAACGGGACCAGGATAGGAGACTCGTAGCGAACCGTGTGACGCGAATAACGTTCACCCTACCCCGTTTTTCTCCCGAGTAAAACCACCATCACTGCCACCAGTTTGCCGCCACCCTTTCAGAGTTCAGAGACACTTTGAGAGAATCGTGCGGCTATCACGCCCGACTGGCGTATCGAGTCCAATAATTGCTTCGAGATGACGGATGGTAAGCTTTACACTTAATCGGTCGACGAAATCTACGACACAGATTTACAGTCGAGAAGCTCCTACCTATCGAAAATTCTGGACATGTTTGCGACGATCCATGAAGCTTCTGATCTATCTCTCAAGTGAATACACGCTATATCGATCCGCGAGAATAAGCCATTTGTAAAATTAATGGTCAAACAGACAATTTCCCTCCAAATATCTCCCATCGATCTATCTAGATCTGTATAACTTGTACACAAGTTTTTCTAGCATTTTTCTTTATATTTCAGCGGATGATCACTCGCACAATGAGAAAAACACCTGTGGAAATATTCTGGTGGGGCTATCGTGGCTCATCGTGGTCCTCACGATGCCATTTTCCCTATTTATTTGTTTCAAGGTAAGAACTATTTCAAAATTTTTTTTTGTAAAGAACCTTTAAACTAATCTCTATCGACTCTGAAAGACAATTACGCCCACGTTTCATAAGATAATTGTTTCAGGTGGTGCAGGAATACGAGAGAGCTGTAATATTCCGTTTGGGGCGGCTTCTGTCCGGAGGCGCCAAAGGACCCGGTAAAATAATTAATGAAACTGCAATTATGAGTTTTAATCAGCTAATTGGAAAGTGTATTTCTAGGAATCTTTTTTATACTGCCCTGCGTGGATAATTATGCTCGCGTTGATCTACGAACGAGAACTTATGATGTTCCGCCTCAGGAGGTAAGCGTAACAGCGAAAATAAAAGAAGAAAAATATGTTGTGTCAAGTATAAACTTGTAACTTTGTACCAACTACAAACTTGTATCAGTATAAACTTGTAAATTTATATCAGGTACTGACAAAAGACAGCGTAACAGTATCAGTAGACGCGGTGGTCTACTATCGAGTAAACAACGCAACAATTTCGATCGCGAACGTGGAAAATGTTCATCACAGTACCAGATTGTTGGCTCAAACTACGCTTCGAAACACCATGGGAACCAGACCGCTTCATGAAATTCTCAGCGAGCGTGAAACGATCTCCGGAAACATGCAGGTAAGCTTCGATCGCTGTGCCAAGACTTGACAACTACGACGTTTCAATGAAATTGTTTATCGAACAGGTCGCTTTGGACGAAGCTACAGACACGTGGGGAATAAAAGTGGAGCGAGTAGAAATGTGAGTGTGCGCAAGTAAAATGTATACAATCGATTTATCCTTTCTACATGGTTTGTTTTTACAGCAAGGATGTACGATTACCGGTTCAATTGCAGAGAGCGATGGCTGCGGAAGCGGAAGCTGCTCGCGAAGCTCGCGCAAAGGTTCGTTTCAAAAGATTCGGTTAAAATAAAAAATATACAAAATTAATACAAGACTATAATAATTGTAAGTGACGTAAAATAATTACTCTGTGGTTACATAGGTAATAGCTGCTGAGGGTGAACAGAAAGCTAGTCGCGCGCTGAGAGAAGCCTCTGAGGTCATCGGAGACTCTCCCGCTGCGTTACAACTTCGTTATCTACAGGTACGTTCTTTTGACAAAATCTTTTCGTTCGAAACTATATCTAATTTATTTTCAGACTCTCAACACTATTTCGGCGGAGAAAAATTCGACGATCGTGTTCCCGCTGCCCATAGACTTATTAACGTACTTTATCCAAGCGGGTGGCGCGAAAGATTCTTAATCTCGATACATATCCTGTTGTTTGAAGTCACAAGATTAAATTGCAGCACATTGGAATCATTCAACCATCAAAAAATGAGTAACGTCAAAAGTATTAATACGATGTCACCTTTCATCGAATCTTTGAACTCGATATTTGTTAGTTTTTTCTCGTACAATCATAAAAGACGTCAAATAAGGAAAAATATGATGAATTTTTTTGTTTACTTATCGAATGAGATTGTTCGACTTCGACGAATAGGAAAATATTGCACCGTTATCGCACACTGGTTGACTGACTGACCAATTTTATACGACACAATATGTAACTATACATATACTTTTTAAACTTTCACTGGTATTTTTATAACTTATTTACTTGTTTATTTTAATTGCTCATTCAGGTACTGTAGCATGCGAAGATTTTTAATACATAATAATAATATAATGACGATAACAATATTATTAATAACAGTAATAATAGGAACAATAGCGACGAAAGGCAAAGGAAAAAAAACATTGATCTGATTGTATTTATCGTTGGTGTTTCTATCTGTAATATCGACATTGTATAGATTGTACATATGTACAACGCGAGCTCAATCATAGCCTACTATTTATTATACACGGAACTGTTAAACGACCAATGAAAAAATGCACATGTAGCTTTATTCCTGTATTTCAAGAGTTTTCAACGGCCTGAAATCTAGATTCGGTCTAACATCGGAATTTCAACCTGTTAGAAATCGAGTTCCGTAAAACATTTCTCTGGAAACAAATATTGACACAAGACTATAATAATTGTAAGTAAAATGGAGGAGATAGGATTTGGAACTGTTAATCGAATATTTACGAGATAGAATCTGATTATAAAACTGGTTTGATTGAAGACATATTCACTTCCGCATGCACGCGTTGTATTCGTTTTTATTTTCGCCTTAAAATTATTATAACGAAGAATGCGAGAACGTAAATCGATCAAAACATTCTTTGTAAAAAATCGAGCAATAGCATTTATTAAAGGTAAACCTACCTCTGTTGAATAACGTGATTATCTTTGTATTTGTAATTTCGTGTTACCTAATTCTAACGTATTTATTGTATTTTCCTGATATACACGGATGCTTGTGAATTAATAAAGTATGGATGTATTTTCAAACGTGTCTCGTTATTTCAATTTTGTGGTACACGGTTGTTGAACGTAGTTCAAACAGAATCCTCTGTTTCCAACATCGTTTGGAGCTTCGATGCTGTCCGTGTGAAAAATTAATCTAAACGGTTTCACTGTGCCTAAGAAACGAATATAAATTATACGCGATACTGATGCATATTGCCGCGGAACGCATTTTTTAACTCCAAGTTATACAGTTATATAAAATAGTTATTCCCAGTACTATTATATAGTTACTATTAAAAAAGATAAAATAAACAGAATAACTCACTGATGACGGAAGAGGCGTTCAAATTTTGATTCTCCGCGTTGAATGTTCCGCCGCAAAATCTGTCAACGCACGCCATCATGGAAGTCGGCAATCTGCCCGTGTTGAACGCACATGGAATCGTCAGCCAATCGGTTTGGCAGGCTGCTCCTGTCATAGACGCTATCTGCATGGCCTGCGTATTCCCCGTCAGCGTAAATGCACTACTCCTCATCTGAGTCGCTGGGACACCGCTCGCCATCATGACTTGACCTTATTAAACACACACAAAATACAATGCATGCTTATGGTGAAACGTATAATAAAATTTATCTTAACTTCTTTATTTACATATTACCATCAGAGCAGGCCATGTATTGAATTCCGCAAAAGTTCCGCTCCATCCTGATGCACATACTGTAGTCCTGATTCGATAACTGCAGTCCGTTCATGGAGTCGTAGTTGAACGATTTTATTTGACCAGAGATCCCGGTGAAGTATTGTAGGCATCCTTCCTCGGCTCTGTATATCGTGTTGCAGCGAATTTGGGACACTCGTACCTTCCAAGACCGAGCGAAAGAGTTGCCGCTTGTGACGAATGTTAGGATGACGGGATTCGTCTGTCCGAGACCGGCGTCGATGTATACTGTTTTACAGAAAATATTTTTTTATTAAAACAAGCGCTATAGTTTTTTATTCAAAGGTACTTACTATGATTTCCAGCATTGGTTCCGCATATGGTGGGTATTGGATTAGCTCCAGAAACGATGAACTGATCGTAGATGCATTGGTGGTTTGTCATCTCCGGGCCTCTTATGTTAAACTGCTCGAAGTCTAATCTGAAAAATATAGTATCGATTTGTAGTTTATAGTGTCTATTGTAGTTATTAAACGTAGTAGCTTACCTAAACTGACACACAGCTGGATGCGATTTGATCAGAGTCAACTGACAAGACTGAGTGCCATCAAAAGACGAGGGATAATTCGGATTGACGAAATAGGTATTATTGCTGCCCGTCGTCTCTCCACAAGATACAGTTCCGCCGCAAAATCTGTCAACGCACGCCATCATGGAAGTCGGCAATCTGCCCGTGTTGAACGCACATGGAATCGTCAGCCAATCGGTTTGGCAGGCTGCTCCTGTCATAGACGCTATCTGCATGGCCTGCGTATTCCCCGTCAGCGTAAATGCACTACTCCTCATCTGAGTCGCTGGGACACCGCTCGCCATCATGACTTGACCTTATTAAACACACACAAAATACAATGCATGCTTATGGTGAAACGTATAATAAAATTTATCTTAACTTCTTTATTTACATATTACCATCAGAGCAGGCCATGTATTGAATTCCGCAAAAGTTCCGCTCCATCCTGATGCACATACTGTAGTCCTGATTCGATAACTGCAGTCCGTTCATGGAGTCGTAGTTGAACGATTTTATTTGACCAGAGATCCCGGTGAAGTATTGTAGGCATCCTTCCTCGGCTCTGTATATCGTGTTGCAGCGAATTTGGGACACTCGTACCTTCCAAGACCGAGCGAAAGAGTTGCCGCTTGTGACGAATGTTAGGATGACGGGATTCGTCTGTCCGAGACCGGCGTCGATGTATACTGTTTTACAGAAAATATTTTTTTATTAAAACAAGCGCTATAGTTTTTTATTCAAAGGTACTTACTATGATTTCCAGCATTGGTTCCGCATATGGTGGGTATTGGATTAGCTCCAGAAACGATGAACTGATCGTAGATGCATTGGTGGTTTGTCATCTCCGGGCCTCTTATGTTAAACTGCTCGAAGTCTAATCTGAAAAATATAGTATCGATTTGTAGTTTATAGTGTCTATTGTAGTTATTAAACGTAGTAGCTTACCTAAACTGACACACAGCTGGATGCGATTTGATCAGAGTCAACTGACAAGACTGAGTGCCATCAAAAGACGAGGGATAATTCGGATTGACGAAATAGGTATTATTGCTGCCCGTCGTCTCTCCACAAGATACAGTTACTAATACAAATAGACTATTATGTAAATGTAACGATAAAAAAAAAATAAAGAAAAATTTACCAATGCAACAAATTCCATAACCGTTCGCGCAAATTCCAGTGGATGCACCTCCGCGTTGCGAGCATTCCGACGCTGCCAGACACGTGCCATTTTCACCATTCGTCCCAACGCAGACGTTATTGTCGAACTTGACCAATGTGAACAGCGGAAAAACTAAATATACAATAAATGTTTTAAGTCATGTACGCTGAGAAGAATAAATTCTGCTTACGTCGTTTCTCTCTTGTGGTTGCAGCATTCTGAAAGTTGGATAACTCCGATTTATGTGATGTTTCGTTCGAGCGACGATTAGCTTGCCAAAAATGCCGATATCTTCTTAAAGAATTCCATGCATCGACGTCGTTGTACAGTACGATGCAATTTAATAAAAATATAACGATAATACGTCTAAACATCATCGAATCTTGTCTTTCGTAGGAAGAAAATTTTTAAAAATAACGCGGAGTTCGATCGTAGAGTTACGCGATCTCCTCACGGCAGCAGTCGCGTGTTGACTTTGAGAGCGGCTCGGAGGATAATATACCTAAGATCTAATTGTTTACACGGTCTATGAATCGCTGTATCGCTTCGAGCCGAGGGTTGATTTGCGTGTTAAGAAAGGGAGAGCCGAGAAATTTAAGCAGCGATAACAATCTCGTGTCCATTGTGTTTATCCTTCGAGTCGAGATAATTTCACTTTCGACTGTAATTAAAGAAAGCTGGACAGTGGATAATTCTCTGTACTAAACTCACTTAGAAAAGTAAAATTACTTATCCTTCGGGGATCTTTCGACGGGACAATTCGTTTAAAAACTCGTCTTTTTCTCTTTCAATTGTCTTATTACGCAACATTTCGGTAAATACGTGTGTAGAAATGCTTCGAGAAAGCAAACTTTCTACGTTATTTTCTAAAATCTTTGCTACCACGGTCTGTAAGTTCCAAGGTACGCGCGACAAATGGGACAATGATGGTCGATAGTTTTGCAAGAGTTCATACAATACGGAATCATACAACACGGCCAGCATCTGTAAATAGAAAAGTTAAAGATACTCGGGTGAATAAAGTGTAAAGCTATAAGAAAATCTCTGTACCCGCACAAGAAAAGTGCGATAGCGGTGATATGAGTACTTATAGACTGCCGAGCTTCTATAGTAGTAACGATAATTGAGGTGCACCGTGAGCATATCATAGTCATAGGTCTTGGTGACCATACTCTATTCTGATTCGCTAAAAAGAAAACCATCTCATGAATATATCTTGACACGCAATCACATATAACTATTTTTAAACATATACCATTACGCGAAAACAGATTATCCATGGAATATGTAGCGAGATAAATTTCTTGGGCCTGTGCGTAACTAGGAGGTGGTATCGGAGCCATGAACGAAGATCGATTCCCGGTTCGAAAAGGTCTCCAATTGCGTGTTGCTCTTCTATGGTGTGCATATGTAGCAGAATAAGCAGGAGGTGCATCGCTAATGCGAGGATGGGTATCTGGCTATCGCGTAAATCTTCATCTTACGATTTGCATATTCAAACAAAAATTATGATAACGCGTAAAACTCGATACTTCATTATCAACGGTGCATCTTAAGCAATTGTTTAATGATTCCATGACATTCCGAGATCGACGATTTGTCCTGCGCCTAAACGTGTTGTTTCTTGTCGAATCCACATTCAGTAATGGCAACGATGTCACAGCCTCATTGCCTTAGATCAAAAATGTGAATGTTGACGTTAAAACAGATTACATGTATCAAGAAAAAAACGAGCATACCATTCTGATTAACTGTAGTTATCAATGTGCTACATGTATCGGCCGATGAACTGCCATAATCAGTTACGGTTAAAATTTCGTTATTAAACTCGGGCTTGCTCGGTGAAAACGGAGTAGTAATTTCAAGAACAGCATCTTCCAATATTCTCCCTCTCAAATGCAACGATTGATATGACGAGTTTGTTCGTGTTGCTAACTCGCGGGTAATTGTCATCGATGGCTTAAACAATGTCGGTTTGAAAACTCGTTAAACTTTCCGTACCGATGCGATCGATTTTTAGTCGAAATTATTTGCAAAATACCTGATTTTGAATAAACATACACGAAAAAGATTTTGTGTTTTCACCGTGCTCTTTCATTTCATCTGCAGACTTTCGATCATTATGCATCGGTGACGTTGTGGAGTCGATAAACTGCTTATCTGGCGATGCTTGTATCAAAGTAAATCTAATCAAGGTTAAAGAAGTTTGCGTAGCAATCGTAGTTGAAAATTCTGCAACCTCTTTCAAATCGCTATTAGTATGTTAGCGCCAACGTATTTTGGAGGGTCGTTGGGGGCAATTAGCCTGTGCTATTTTGCCTTCGAACGATTTATGATAGGGATAGCCTGCGTGAGGTCTAAGCGAAAGGTCGTTTATGAGAGTCTAAGTGTGGCGATAGATGATGGCTATTGACTTGGAGTCGTATGGTCATCAGATGTCGTAGGATTGCTTGCTTTGTTAGCTTCTGAGATTGTAGAAAAGGACAGATAGTTTGTTATTGCAATGCTAAGTCGAATAGGGACGTTGTTCCTGGAGGATCTGGCCACGTAGTGGGGAGGCAGGGATGCCTTTGGTAAGAGGACTGAGTTTGACCTCTCGGCACTTACCCCAGCACCTTAATTGGGAACGCATCTCTGTTTGACAAAGTTTCTAACAAGTAGATGACATGGTAAATGGCTTGTAACTATCTGAAAAGCGTTTAATACAACGAAAAAATATAGGTAGAAAAATAATATATTTGCTTTATTTTTTTACAAACAATAAAGATACCTAATTCAACTGATTTAGATTCTTCTAACTCTGTCGAATTATCTACGCCTTCCGCATTCTGGCTAGAAGGACCTTCATCTCCGTTCGAATACATAACTGATCGATGATTTCCAATCTGTTTACTGATCATTAAAAGCTTTACGATGTCCTACAATATTTCGATACGACATAAAAATAGGTTAGAAAAATTATAGTGTATGAAATATTTGGAGGACTGAGTAATTTTATAAGACTGTACTTATTTACACTAGTATTCTAATTTATTTTGTTTCTGTATTATAAACTGCGTTGAAATCAATGTTGTGTACAGTTTTACAGTAATACACTTTTTCAATTAAACATTTTGAACATGATGAGGATAATTTAAACCTAGCGCTGCTCGACGCACTTAAAGATGGCTCTCGACATTGACGATTCGTGCTCTGAATCTATGGGAACGAAGCAGTAAAAGTTTCCAGGCAGTCACAAACTGTAGAGAAATAATGAAAATACAGTTAGTTAATGGAAAATTCGTTCGACGACACTGTTAATTTCGATTCGATTGTGAATTACTTTGCAGCCGCGTCGAGTAAACTCGAAGTTCCGTGATCGCGAGTAATCGCAGCGGCAGCTACGGAAAAATTGTGGCGCTGCGTTGAGCCTGCGCTGACGCCATTGTGTATGCGAGAGGCGAGAACAGCCGAAATGGAGGAAAGTCAAACATCGGAAAGTGTCGCCGTGCTACCGGACATGTCCGAACCGTTGACGAGCGAGACCGAGGAGGCGTCTGCCCTAACGACCGAGCACGAGGCGCATCCCGTCGCTGTGACGGCGAGCGTCACTCCAGTACCGGGTGTTCCTGGTGTTCCAGGAGTTGGTGTACCGGTTTCTTTACCCGTTGGTTCTATCATCGGTGTAGCGAACTCAACCAACGGCACGACCTTCAACGTCATCACCTCGGATCAACTACAGGTATTTTGAAACTAAAATTTCCGATGCATCAACTTTCGTCTCTTTAATATTTTTTGTATGGAATAATTTTATCGAGAATCGGTATTCTCATTAAAGAATTGCTACGAAGTTCAATTGAAATTTTACTTTTTGCGTGTATGTACAAGTCCCAGTAAACATGTATAAGCACATAATGTACATACGATTAACTGCGCCTGCCCGCGCATTCTAATACAATAGCACGTGTTTCTATTGTGAATTAATATTTTATGCATGTACAGTCATTCACACATATTAAATGTTGTATGATTACCTAATGCAGATTAAATGTAATCATAAAAAGCAGTTCAGTTAAATAATTCTTCTTTTTCAGTTACCAGGATCAGGACAGTTTAAACAAATGCTATGTGTTGATAATGGTTTCATATGTGAACCACGTCATGATAAGGATTCAGATCCATTACGTTGGAATGGAGAACTAAAAGCAACACACATAGTAATTCAAAATAGTACAGAGGAACCTGAATCTGAACAAATACATGTTTCAACCGCTAATACACAACCAATATGCAGTTGGTCAGAATCTGCCAATTTAGCAGTATTACCAGTTAGGTGTAAAAATACAAATGCAGAGCTGCATAAAAGTCGATTTGGGTCTGGTGGAAGAGGAAGATGTATTAAACTTGGACAAGATTGGTACACACCAAGTGAATTCGAAGCTCTTTGTGGTAGAGCATCAAGTAAAGATTGGAAACGTAGTATTCGATTTGGTGGAAGAAGTTTACAGACATTAATTGATGAACAAATTTTAAAGCCACATGCTACCTCGTGCACGTGTGCCGCATGTTGCGATGACGACAGTGCAGTTAGTACACAATATATTACTCCATAAATGGTTCTTTTTGTGTGAATTGTATTGCAATTTCTTTTACTCCTGTATTTTAGACTGGTCCCGTCAGATTATTTACACCTTATAAACGTAGAAGAAGAGCCAGAGATACCTCCGACGGAGAAACGCCGTCACGAAAACTTAAAAGTGATAACTCTCGCGATGGTAGTAACAATGACGAAAGTGATAGCGAAGTCGTGATACCTGATAAAGAAGTATGGCCTCAGTTTGTTTCAACGGACGGTTTGGTTGTACAACAACCGCACGATCAAGATACCGTTGTCCAAAGCGTACATCAAACTGAAAATGGACAAAACGACGATATATTTAAAAAACTCGACGAGATGTCCAGTAAAATGCTAAAGTTAGCTTATGAATTTAGGCGTACCTTAGAAGAAGCTAAGGAAGTAAGTAGACAACAACGAAGAGAACAAGCACTAGTTGCCCAATTAGGAGGTAGAGGAGATGTTATTGAAACTGTTGGATTACAACCAGCTTCGGATACTCATAATAAAAAGGTAATGAATAAAAGCCGATGACGTTACGAATTAATACTCAAATGTGTTAAAATATCGTATCTCAAATAACATTCCTTTTTTACTGTTCATCTATTTTTAGTGTGCCAACTGTAATAGAGAAGCATTTGCGGAATGTTCTTTATGTAGACGAACGCCGTATTGTTCTACATTTTGTCAACGTAAGGATTGGGCAGGTCATCAAGTGGAGTGTGTTAGAGGTGCTGCTGAAACTGTAATGCTTATAGTAGAAAGTAGTGGTGGAGATACTAGTACTCTTGCAACCACGGCCGGGGACCAATAGCTAGTGTTTCTTACACCCATTCACCAAAGGAATATAGAAGCTGAACAAACTAACATAGGATGTTCAACGTTGAAAGAAAAGACGAAAACTTAAGAGAAACTCGTTTATTGACAAAAAGGTCAAAAAGTTCTGTATATATGGTAGTAAATATTTTGTATGTACATATATTAATTATAACGATCAAGTGTATAAGTTTACACGACAGTTGACATTTTTTAAAATCACGAAACCGTATAAAATATTAAAGAAAATTAATAAACCAAATAAGTATAGAAGTAAAAGATAATGCACGCACGCATGCATATGTAAAAGGTGTGTATTATGCATGCGCGCGCGCTGTGTGGGTGTGAGTGTGTGTATATATAATGCGTGAATACATACATTTATTGTATTCCACATGATAAAATATACTTCTATGAATCATTTTTTTACTTGTAAAGCTCCAAACAACTGACCAAAGGAGGTAATTACGCTTCTATGGAAGTTATTTGCATATAATACTATTTCATCCTTCTTTTTTGTTTATAGTTATCATTTTGCAATATTTGTCCAACAGTTTTTTTTTCTTTCCTTTTTTATAAAAACATGATGAACGCAAAAAAATGCTATTTTAATTTATATTTTATAAATGCATTACACTATACATTTGCAACTCATTTTGCATGATACATAATCACAGTGACCTGTACGTTTCCATTGTCATAACATTTTTTCACTTCAAATAGTAGTAAAATTGTTAAAATTAATTTATAAATTTGTATACATAGTATACAAAAACGTTGAATCGATGAAAAATATAAATGGTAACCGTGATATTTAATCGAAGATTGAAACTGTTGGATTACAACCAGCTTCGGATACTCATAATAAAAAGGTAATGAATAAAAGCCGATGACGTTACGAATTAATACTCAAATGTGTTAAAATATCGTATCTCAAATAACATTCCTTTTTTACTGTTCATCTATTTTTAGTGTGCCAACTGTAATAGAGAAGCATTTGCGGAATGTTCTTTATGTAGACGAACGCCGTATTGTTCTACATTTTGTCAACGTAAGGATTGGGCAGGTCATCAAGTGGAGTGTGTTAGAGGTGCTGCTGAAACTGTAATGCTTATAGTAGAAAGTAGTGGTGGAGATACTAGTACTCTTGCAACCACGGCCGGGGACCAATAGCTAGTGTTTCTTACACCCATTCACCAAAGGAATATAGAAGCTGAACAAACTAACATAGGATGTTCAACGTTGAAAGAAAAGACGAAAACTTAAGAGAAACTCGTTTATTGACAAAAAGGTCAAAAAGTTCTGTATATATGGTAGTAAATATTTTGTATGTACATATATTAATTATAACGATCAAGTGTATAAGTTTACACGACAGTTGACATTTTTTAAAATCACGAAACCGTATAAAATATTAAAGAAAATTAATAAACCAAATAAGTATAGAAGTAAAAGATAATGCACGCACGCATGCATATGTAAAAGGTGTGTATTATGCATGCGCGCGCGCTGTGTGGGTGTGAGTGTGTGTATATATAATGCGTGAATACATACATTTATTGTATTCCACATGATAAAATATACTTCTATGAATCATTTTTTTACTTGTAAAGCTCCAAACAACTGACCAAAGGAGGTAATTACGCTTCTATGGAAGTTATTTGCATATAATACTATTTCATCCTTCTTTTTTGTTTATAGTTATCATTTTGCAATATTTGTCCAACAGTTTTTTTTTCTTTCCTTTTTTATAAAAACATGATGAACGCAAAAAAATGCTATTTTAATTTATATTTTATAAATGCATTACACTATACATTTGCAACTCATTTTGCATGATACATAATCACAGTGACCTGTACGTTTCCATTGTCATAACATTTTTTCACTTCAAATAGTAGTAAAATTGTTAAAATTAATTTATAAATTTGTATACATAGTATACAAAAACGTTGAATCGATGAAAAATATAAATGGTAACCGTGATATTTAATCGAAGTTGTATTATTTATCTAGTGTTTTTAATATATATATATATATATATATATGTATATTTTTTTCATTAAAAATATTAAAGATTTTTTATTCAATTTTATACAATATTATTATTATGCCACAATACAGCGAATATATTAAATAAAATATGTTTACACTACATCCAAAGTGGCAAAAGAATGATAAACGTCATTTATAACTGTTATATGCACTTTGTATATAAATAAACCTATAAAGTATCTGAAACGTGTTTCAAATTTTTCCAAATAATTAATCTACAAATAATCTACATCTAATAATTTCCATAATGTTTTAATCTATATAAAAAGGCACTGAACGATCTATTTGAAATACTTAAATAACCACTACTTGGTGAGAAATTAATGGTTTCCGGCATCGTTAAGTTTGTTTGAAATGATGGATAGTTTGAAAAAATTGTAAATGATGGTAAATGCATCATTTTGAATGCATTATGCTTTTTATTTGAAGCCATTGCTAATATTTCAGAATAAGGATTAAACTTTAAACTAGTAATTGACGTTACGAGATTTAAAACAATTTTTAAAGGAACAGGAATTCGGTCTTGTAAAACCGTTTTAGTTTCGTATAAATTAACTACACCTTCTCTACTACCTGTTGCCAAGAACTGACCACTCGGGGACACCGCAATGGACTCGCAAGTTAGACATCCGTCATCTATGGCCCGATGGATACACTCGCGACTGTTTAGATCCCAAATGTACATTTCACTACCGTCTATAGTTGATTAAACAAAAATAAAAAAAAATCATTTAAATTTAAATCGTATGTAAAATCAAGCAGACAGAAGTATTAATAAAATACAGCTTACCACCATGTGTAATAAGAGTTTTGTTGTCTGGAGTGAAAACTACCGCCCTACATTTGGTGTTCATTTTCAAGGTACTTACAAGTTCTTTGGACGAACTTGTTAATAAATAAATTTCGCCTGATCGTCCACAAACTGCTAATAATTTCCCATCAGGAGACACTTCGCATTTCTATTTATTTATTTAACAATTTTATTATTTAAGAATGAAGATTGCTCACTATGAAAATTATTGAACCAATAACACAAACCTGCATATTAGTCATTCCATGTGGAAGCAGTATTTTGTATGTTTTTCCACTAATTAAATTGTAAGAATGAGAATATGGATAGTATTGGGAGCCAATTAAAATTTCTGTACCCTCTTGCAAAAATTTTGCAGTACTAATTGGAAACTTTTTATATTGCATTGTGGCTAGTTTATTATTTTCAATGCCATCTATCTACAAGTAATTGTATTCTCAAAATATTTCTGTGCCAATATATAAGTGTAATCAGCCTTTTGAAACTTACTTGAAAAAGAGACAAAATCCCAGATGAACCAGCAACTAAGGCAACTGTGGAAGTTGGATGAAACTCAACAGAAGATACAATGGGTCCTTCTGTATGTGTTTGCTTATTGATTGCAGTTAATGTTTTTATATCTATTATATCTTTTGGCAAGTTTTTTACTTTGGGTTTTTCTAAATAGCAACTATGCTAAAAAAATTATCATATTTATGTATCTTATCTAAACAAATTGTTAAAAAGTATTTAGTACCTTTAATATTTCATCATCCAAATCATCAGATTCTTTGTCTACTCTCTTAAGTTCAGCCCACTTTGGAGTACCAACAAGTTGTGTATATTTATGCTGTAAATAATCTTTATATAACTTTCCAGGTGCATCAGTATTAATTTTCTGATCTTTTAATTTTGCAGCATCTTTTACTCTATCAAAGAACATAATTATTTTAAATAATTTGACATACATCATTTGATAGCAGTATATCTTTTTACTATCAACTACTGTTTTCTTGTTAAAAATGTTATACATACAAGCAAGTGGCATCATCTTCATCAACCCATGCCACTTCTTTGGAATGTTTTTTAGAACCATCAATGTTTTCAATTTCGGTAACATTAGTTTTATTTTCAATTGATTCTTCATCGCTTTCCAAATTATTTATAATGTCACTGGTGTCGCCAAACACGATTTTTTCTAACCTGTACAAAAGTAACACCATGTTATTTGTGACAAATTTTAAACATTTTTTACATTTTCATTATACCTGGCCTCTTCATTTGGATCGTATTCATTTCTTCGAGTTTTCTTCAAAGGTGCTTTAAACTTTTGTGTATAAAGTGTTTTCGAAAACTTAGGTTTCCCTTTGCGTATTTTATTTGTAGGTTTAGCTTCATGATCACGTTTTAACTTGCTTTTTCTTCTCATGATTGTTTTACTAACATTCACCGATTATTTAATACAATAATTAACACATTAAGATATTAATCCTCAACGTATTTTTCATATGTTGTTTTATAACAATTTCTACGTACATGCGGTTTCGTTTCTTTCCTAGCTGTACCTGACTTAAAAATACAAAACACCATTTTACCTATACAAATGCAACTCAACAAACACACGTACAGATGATTCAGAATAAAAATTAGTATTAAACTACAAAAAAAAGTAAGAAGATAATAATAAATATAAAATACAAAATTTTATAAATTATTGATTAACTGTTATCATGCTATGATAACATCAATGTCACCGTTTAAATCATACTAAAATTACTAGATGGCGTTTATATTACTATTTCAATAAATACGCATCTCTATATAATCAAAATTTGAAAAATATACATTTATTTGGAAATTATTAAATTAATTAGTTTACAATAACATGACCTTCTTTCTGCGTACTATATAAATCAACTATAAAATTTTGATTATCAAAGTATATAAACTTTGAGAGGGAAATTCATGCAATTGGGAGAGTAATTTAATTTCAAATTATAAATAAGCGCTAAACACTGGTTAACACATAGAATATTAGTATATGCTCACATTCATGGCATTTCAAAACCATATATATGTACCATAGTATATATATATGTGTGTATAGATAAATACCTATCTTATATTGCGATAGTAAATCAGAAGTTATCAGTGATTTGAAAATATTCAGGATTAAAATTGATAAAGTAGTGATTTGATGATGATGATGATTAATGTTATGGGCATCGACTGCCATGGTCATTAGCCCAGAGTAGTGATTTATATCTTGTTGCATTTTAAAGATATACGTATATATGTGTGTAATTTTTTCAAATACAAGAAACATAAAAATTAATTTAAATAGATCACACACAAACGTTTTTTGAGTGATATATTTTAATATATCGTTAAATAATACACATAATCAGAATTTACGTATATCGAGATAAATAATGTTTTAACCCTCTTCGACCTGAGATGATAAAGAAGATTTGGTGTCACTCTCAGAGGATAAATGTTCGAACGCGAACAGGGAAGCGCATCTCGGTTGATATTGCTCAACCGCTTCCAGAAGACTATCCGGATATCCAGGAGAATAATATCTAATACAAAAATTTGTGTATATTAAGCATTTAAATCGAATTGTCATCGTAGTAAACTTATACTAGAAAAAAAATATTTCAACAACAATTTAAACATTGAACGGTGATTGTTAAGCAATTTAAAAATATCCTGATAATCGTGTCGTTTGTTCACTGATATCGTATCGATATGGATACGATAATACAAGACAGTGTTTTGATTGCATCAAAACGTAAAATTATTGATCTATTAAAGTCTGAATTTATATTTTTCCAATGTAATCAGCTGTGACAACATGGCGATCACGCCGTAGATTACTTGCCCGATTTAAATTAAGACACGCGATCTAGAAACAGAACTGCAGTTATTTGTATTCGCTGCTCGTGTAAACGACTCTGAGAAGACTGGACTTTTTCATTAACAAAACGTCACATTTCCGGATTTCTCCAGTAAGTAATCTCTACTAAGGTTATATCAAAAGCAACTAGTGTTTTTTATAATTATTTATTCTTATTGTTATTATCATTATTATCATCATAATCATCATTAGCTGTGCACATGTATTTATGTACATGTACTGTCCAGTAGCTATCATCTAATGACTTTAACGAATAAAATATTTTAGTTTCTAGGCAAAGAAAGAAACAAATCAAAGAATCATAATAAACAAATTTAACAAGAATAAGGTACAGTGCTCAAATCCAGAAACGAAAGCTACAACTATTATCCATTATTAGTGCAATTAGTATAGTAACAATGATGCACTTATTTATATTTAACTATAAAAATATTGAAATGAAATAGAAATTAAAAGTAACCTGACAATTTCTTCTGGAAAACAACAGTTGATAATTTGTATATATTCCAAAAGCATTGATCCAGGTTCAGCCTGAATTTCTTGTACTTTCTTTAAACCGCCAGATGTTACAAATAGTCTTCTTGCTCTTGCATCGTGAGGCAAAATCTATGTAATAAAAAGAAGTGATTAGAAAAATCAGTTTATAACACACCGTAGTTTAATGCTCTTATTATTTATGTACATAAGTAAGTGGTAAGATTAGTGTCACTAGTAATCAGTTTGTGTAGTACATTTCTAAAAATAAGATCTCTGAAACATGACCTACACATTCTTTCAACATACTTAATCAGAAATAGAGTGTGTATTGTTTCTTTTAATATTTTAAGCACAGACTCAAAATTGTTGTAATACATTTTATCTTATGATTAATACGGGAATTACGCAATTTATAAACAATACTATGTTCGAACGATAACGTTTAAACGATCGATAAGAACTGATTACTGATAATTATTAAATTTTTAAAATTCGTGTAAGTCATTTTTTTCTTTTTTATTACTACTTTTCCGGTTTTAATGTTATACTACAAACATTGTAAACACGTAACACATTATGACTGATGCCAAATCTGTCCAGGTTTCCTATTTTTTCGTCGCTAAAAATATCTCGTTTTCGAAAACAAAATTCCAGAACGAAGTTACGAGAGAATGTGTTCGTCGTAAACATGTTAATTTAGTTAAGACTCTTTTATTGTCCAACACGAATTATTTTATAACAATATTATAATAATGAGAGACAACATTTTTTCAGTCAGGTCTATGTGGCACTAAAGACTGGCCGCTAAAGGGATAGAAGAAGACTCAAGACCATTTTCCTTATTATCAGAATTGTTCTTTAATTGTAATTGCCTGCTCTTTTATTACAAACCAGAAGTTTTTACTTATACTTAATCTAAAACAGTTTGCATATATTAAAAGTTGAAAGAATTTTTGACGCATTTTTAAATAATTTATTAAAAATATAGTGAAAATACGTCATTCGTAGACGTGCGTAAAAAAATTTGAAAAAGAAAATATAATAAGCGCAGTTCTAAATACAACGAGATTTTATTAAAATAGTTGGAAATGTATTTCGAAGAAATATAACCGAAGTATAAATCAAGATTACCGATTACCGATTACCAAGAAACTTCTAACATTGCAATTAAAAGATAACGAGACAGCTGCCTTAAAATTCAAACAAGTAATGTTACAAGTAAGTAAAGGGAGATGACATCATTGTACACAGCAGTCAAATTGTACCATATATTAGATGCTGTTTGTAAGACTCCTAGCAAATATGTCTGATATCAGAAAGGTAGAAACCTGTAACTTATAAGCAGTGAATTTGTCGCAAAAACGTGCAGTATAATCAGAGAAGTTTCATGGACTATACGAGCAAGAAACTTCGTACAAGTTTTTTGAAATAATTTATAAATTATTGTAAAGCGCGATAGACGTTTGCTTCACATCAGAAAGAAAAGTGGAAAACTAGTAATAGACATGGTAAACAACCAACATTGTGTTATTATAAATTCGGGAGAGACCAACAACTATCACCAACCGGTCTCTGCGAAACCCTCTGTTGTATCTGTATCGAGTATCGATTCTGATGTGAGCGACAGAAGGGATGTGCGTGAAGAGCTTTATGCTGGAATATTCAGAAGACACAGGAAAACTATACTTGTCCTAGGCAGTTTTCTCAAGATGTTAAGGGTGAATAGAAATATGAACAATTATGCTAGTATTAAACCTAATGATGATAATGATGAGTAAAATAATCATTTTGTTGCATGGATAAAGTAGCAGACCAACTTTAATCTACTTCAATGAAACACTGATTTTATTGCTTTATCAAAAAATTACATGTAATTTGAGTATGATAAATGAAATTCCAATATCTTGTTGATTTTGTTTAATGAAAGATTTTGTACATACTTAATAATGATTATACTTGAAAAAAGCTTATCTTACATGAGACACTATCTTGGTATATGGTTATCTTTTGCAACAGTCATATATTAGGTTCAAGTTTGTTTGCTACAATGACTATATAGATTATTACTAAGAATATGATACGGATGTATCATATGTGCTTTTTTAACATTATTTACTGATAAAAAAACGTTCATATTTCTTTTATGGTGATACAATGAAAAAAATGACATATTATTATAGAATGTTTAAAAATTACAGCACAAATCCTTAAGAAGCAAGACCTTCTACTCAAACAATGTTAATATAAAAAAAAATTTATATTATATATTGTTTTGTCGTTATAGTTTTATCATTCTATATAGAAAAATATATCGTTCAAATTTTTAATTAGTGTTACAAGGATAATTATTTGAATACTTTTGTAAAAGTTTTTATTTAATTGTGGCTATTTATATTTTTGCAATAACTTCAGCAGTATACCATAACTTTTTTTTCTCATTTTTCAGAGATGCTTGGACAGATTGCATGTTCTGAACCGAGTATATGCCTTAATTGCTTTACAATTCGAAATTGCGCTGCAACAAAAATTTTGGTGAAACCATGAGATTTCAGTTTCTAGTCTGGTTCAATCTGTTTCAGTTTGTTCATTTATAATTGCAGAATACATTTCTCTATGATAACAAACTATTTCTCTTTGTCTTTTTAGCTTTTTATCAAAATGTTTGAATAAACAAGATTTATAATATTACTCTGTAACTAAAAGAGTAATTACTGCCAATCATATTTAACATTTCTTTACTCATGTTTGTACGTGTATTAAATAATGATATAGTTCGAGTGAAAAAATAAATGCTAATTCATTTTTTCGGAGTGGAATAATATTTTTTTATTAACAAGGCTACAGTTCATGAATTTAATATCTATTGTAATTTAAAGCAAATAATACTAAGATTTTTTTACATTTATAACATTAGCGCAAATATCAAATTACTGCCTTATTAACAAATAGTTTCATAAATGAAATTTTCATTTGTTAGTATTTAATGTACGTTCGTATCTAAATAATTTTCAGTTATCTGCAAAATTTATACTTGCTAGTTTCTGTACATCAAATACTGCCAATACAAGATACATCATGATAAAACCATAATCACATAACGATTCGATCGTCCTCACATTTTAGCCGAACCATTTATTGTCGTAAGACTGAGAAATGTGCTTTTCCAGGGCATCATATGTGCCATAGTAATTATTAGATAATCATAAAAAAAAAAAAAAAGAAAAAGTAATTCGGATCTTTTAACGCTATTATGGATTTTTGCACTTCCTATCGATTTATTATTAAACAAATACAAGGATGTACAGCATATCGAGAATATTACTTTTAAATAAAAGTATGTAATGTTTGATATCTACGTTAACTAATGTCAAATTAAAATTTGTGCCGTTTTAAAAATGTTGAAAAAATGCATACAAAAAAGTTGAATAACAAAAATTTTAAGAATAAATTATATAAGTATTGAATATACCACTGTACCAGAGTAATATCATAGAATCTTAACAGTTAAAGTAGTTTTTACGTGATAAAAAAAGAACATTCATCTTATAAGATTGCTTGACCAATTTTTCAGTAGAGCGATATTAGATAGCTTAATAAGTTCGTACATACTTGTATACATGAATATAGTTCGTAATGCAACTATGTTTAAATATGAAATCACAAATGTACAATAATTTCATGCAACAATACTTAGTATTGCATAGAAAAATTTTTATTATAATATTGGTTTTGTATAAATTATTTTAATAATGTATGCGATAAACAATAAAACAAAAATATTATTTCATTTATTGTAATGCCTATGTTATAATTTATAAGCTCTAAGAGCAACTTGTAAGGAATATGTATAAAGTAAAGAATCATATGCAAATAAAATGCCATTGCAACTCTTACCTTACTGAATTGTCCAAGAATACATTTTAAAATATTTGGAGGTGCATCCTCTAATAAAGGCTCCAAAGATTCTATGTACATACATCGCTGTAATACTTGTTTTAATGTTGTATTACATTTTGCTTTAAGGTCCTCTGGACTATTTGGATCATTATAAAGCTGAAAATTAACTGCAAACTAATAACAACGTTCAGATATAAATAATGTAATATGAAATTTATATGCACCTGTAATAATTTTGGAAAAACGTTTGCAATTGCAACTGCTTTTGCGTGTTCTGATGTATGTTTCCCAATTTGTCCAATTGCCCATGTAGTAACAGCAAGTAAATGATTATCGTCTTCGTTATGTAATATCGTAGATAAATGAACAATTGCCTGCAATGAATGTATTTTATTAAAACATAATTAAAAGAAGATAATAAAATGATATATACTTGAGATCCTATAACTGCAACAGCTAACTGATCTGAATGACCAGCAATGTATCCAATCGCCATTACTGCTGATAATCTGGCCGTTAATTTTGAAGCAGCAATTAATTCAACGAGTGCCCCGATGCCACCATTATTTACGATAAGTTGAGCCATCTAAACGAGAATATAATTGTAAAATAAAATAAATGATGTTAAGCAAAAGTTAAAGAATGATCAAATTTATTTTACTTCTAATGTATGTTTGCAAATTTCCCTAGTTAGCATTACTGCAGCATTAACAACACATTCATCAGGATGTGCCATGTGTACTAAAATATCAGGTAAAATTTCAGCTTCTATAACTGATTCTGCCAGTTGTACAGAGTGTTTTGCTATACTGCTTAAGGCTGAAAGAACTTGATGCTGGATATATTATTAACAGCTGAATTATTATATTATGAAATCATCTGACATGATAGTTCATTTCACCTTTAATTTATTATCAGGATTAGACAATGCTTTCACAAGAAAAGGAATTGCTCCTGCATCAACTACAGTTTCTGCAAGATCACTATTATGTTTGCTTATATCGAATAGAGCAGATGCACTAATTTGTTTCAGGTATAATTCTGGTTCTTGCAAACATAAAACCAAAAGAGGTACAGCTCCTGCAACAATGTTATAAAAGTTTTAGAACAAAATCAATTACAGATCTCAAGTAATAACTTTTGGAATACCTGCATCAACAACAGCTTCTGTTAAATTCTTATTATGTCTAGCAATATATCCTACTGTCCAAGCTGCAGCCTCCTTGACTCCAGAATCAAAATCTTCTAAACAAAGTATAATAACTTCCAATGCATTATTTTGAATTACTATAGATGCTAATTCAGGAGAATGTTTAGCAACTGATCGTACAACAAATAAAGCTGCTTTTTTATAAAATTTCTGAAACAAATAAACTTAAATATTTTCACAGTTGCTTTTTGTTTTCATCCATATAATTTCTGTTAAAATGCACATTGCATTCTACTAAAAAATTTTTCTATAATTAAAATGCTTACATCCATACATTTTGTTTATCGATGTTCTTTAATAACTGAGGTAAAATATCTTTTCTTATAATAGCTTGCGCCAGTCTGTGACTATTATTTGCAAGTTTTCCTAAAGCAACAGCTGCCATGTGTTGAATTGACGGTACATGATCTGTCAACAAGGGACATAGCAGATCCAAAGCTCCAGCAGCTTCTAAACATTGTACGTTGTTTGGTTTTGAAGCAAAATCAGCAACAGATTGAACAAATGATAAACGAGCTTTTTGATACCGATCAAACACTATAAAGGCACAATGATAATTAACATATTTATAGGTAGATTTAATTAAAGGATGGAATTAAAAGATACAATCTTTTACACAATCCGTTATAATAAAAGATCGTTAAATATTTTTTTGATAACAAAGTATTACTATTATCGTTAAAAAACATACCTTGTATAATTAAACGCGCTGCCATTTTTTATTTATTATGAGAATTTAAATGTTATACAGTATAGTATTAATACCTATAACGGCTTCTTTTCTTTTCTCTTTGTCTTTTCTTTTTTCTTTTTGTGTCGACAACTTCAGAAACGTGCCTCATGTTTAAAAAGAAACTACCGCCCTCCCGCTGCGTGCTGTTTACTTGTCCACCGACTTCACGAATAAAAAAGTAAACAGGTGTCGTGTTTACCTCGAATGCATAAAACTAAATAAAATATAAAACCTTAAAAGTTAGGAAATATAATATGTACATAGAAGTATAATTACACATATATACAAACATATCAAGGGATAAAAAGTTGTTAAAAAGAATATTCTCTGTATCGTAATTTTTTGTGCGGGAAAATGACCGAAGATTTATTGATTAAAGAAAAAGGGTTTCGACAGCTCAATGAAGAACTTGAACAGAAAGCACATAATTTAATGGAAAAAATAGATTATGCTATAAATACTTATAATAATGAATATTCAGCGTGTGATCCAAAAACGCACTCGAATTTCGTAGAAGAAAATATAACAGCACAAACAGAAAATAATACTCAAATTTGTATTAAACGCAATTCGTCTTTACCATACATTTTTAGACAGCTATCGCCTCCAACATCGTAAGTAATGACTGAAAATAACTGTTTATTAATATTAAATATCTATAATGTTATTAGTATCTTATTTTTTCTTTAATATTTTTAGTTTTTTTTTTTAATTTGCTTTAATGTAAATTGAAATATATTTTTCAATATTATTGGTACACAACAGAAAAGTAGAAACACAGAAGGAAATTGTGAATGAAGCTTCAACGAAAAGAAGCTTGGCAAATAAAACAGTTATTAATTTATTTAAAAGTAAAATAGATATATTACAAAATGAACTACAGACAATACAAACTGAATACAAAAAGAAGGTAGCTAGAATTTACATAGGCATGAAAGTAGTCATTTATCTAATGCATAAAATATTATTTTAGTGTGAGATCTGTAAAAATTTGGAGTCTGAAAAAAACAAACTTGAGGTGAAACTACAGAATGAAGTGGAATCATTAAAAGAGACAGTTACAAAGCTGGAATGTGCTAATAAAGAGTTACAATGCCAATATCAAACAATAAATGCAGAGAATTTAATGATGAAAAAAGTATAAATTATTATTGATGGTAAATTGATAAGTCTTTGTATGTATTTATAAAGTATGTTTTCAACAGGACTTGGATAAACTTGAGAAAGAATTAAAAGTATCAAATCAACGTGGCAGTAATTATAATACAAGATTAAATAGATCATTGGAAATAAATGAGAAGCTTAAAAGTGCTCTTAGGTGTTCTCAAGCAGAAGAAAAGGTAATATATTATGAATTATGTTTAGCATGATTGAAATAATTTGTGATGTTTAGATTTTCATGCAATTTGATGCCTGTTTAGGAACTTAGAAATCAAATTAGAAAATTGCAAGATGATAAAAGACTGACCATTAACAATTTGGGAAAACAACTTTCAGAATTAGTACAAGTATTAAAAAAACAAATGTTAATTATAGACAATTTAAAGAAACAAAATGTAAGTGGTTATTTTACCTGTTCATATAAAATATCAAGAAAATTATTTTATCTACTTATTTTTATATTTATTTATAACCAAGGCATGCTTAATAACAATTGGACAATTAAAATTCACAAAAGAAGATTTTTCAAGATTATTGGATCAGAAACTTCAATGCATATGATAAATTGTATATAAAACGTTTATTGAATGACTACTACAATTTATACATTGCAAAACTGGAATAATTTCATTTCATAGCCACACATTTTGTACAACTCTATATTACAGACTGTATTTTCTAATGATATTCTTCGCAAAAACCTTTTATCCTATACATTACCTGTCAGATATTTAAAAAAAATGTTAAGGTTTGTATTTTCTAACTCAAGACTTGGTGAATTCTAAACAATTTAATTTAAGAAGTACTTTAATACCTTGAATTTGAAGTAAACAAATTTTGTATTGTATTATAATCATAGCAGTTATTTATTTATTCTATGCACAGTTGTGATAACATTCAAATGATGAAGATCTGCAATACCTCTTAAAGCGAAATACAAAAAAGTATAAATAGTGTTACCATGGAAATCATATTTTTTTATGAAATGTTATTACTATTGCATATGACGTTTACAAAAACGGTATGACATACAATTTTGAGAAAACGCGTAACTGATTTCCATTGTAACTAGCTTGAATTGGATATTTTTAACGATTAGCTAAATTTTTATTTACATGAAAGTCCTATTTTGTGCATAAGAAAGAAAATTAATAACGACGAACTTCGATTATTATGTACAAAAATTTAGAACATGTTGCTCCGTAATCGATATTCTGCGAGACACTCGTTTCGATTTTATGTGTATAATATATAATCACATATCTAAGAGACAATGCCATCTTAACAAAACACATTGAAATTTGAAACTTTTGAAGATTTCATAAAATATCAATAAGATGTTCTAAATCAAATACAGCATAGAATTTAGAAATTTTAATTTATATTTTAATCATATGTTATACTTTAAACAAAGTGTTCTGTGTAATTTCTATTTATATAAGTAAACTAATAATTTAAAAAATATTAATTTTAAGTTAATTAAATAATGTCAGACATTAAAAATAAAAAGCAAGTAAAAACGATACGCGTATTGGTACTCTTGACCAAACGTTATTTGCACAACCTTTCAACAATTAGTTTACCTTTTCAATGCTTGAGTTTGTAAGATTTTATCGAATGAAATTATAAAATTATTATATTTTTATTTAATAACATACATTAAGTTAATAGTTTTTTTTTGTTTATAATCAAATATGAATACATTACTCACTCCTGAAAGTTTATTATAATTTACCCCACATCTTCCATTATCCTTCTGTTTTTGATTATATATAATAATTATCAATTTGAAATTTTCAGTTGTTTTACACATTGAATGTTGTGGTTCATTCTTATACGTATGTATACAGTAAGATTTACCATCATTTGTAACACTGATGGTATTTATTCAACAACAATTACTTTATTTTTAATGTTAAAAGTTCTGTTTGTGCTTTCACTTAAAGTCACTTTGTAGTACACATTTTCAAATCACTTTATATTGCACTTTGAATATCAAATTCATATTAATTTCTATAAAGTATAAATTCGAAGAAAATATTTAAATAATTAGTTGAAATTTTGATACATTTTTGTCATTGACAAGACTCTGAACGTTGCTCTTTTTCTCTAGAAGAAAAATCAACTTTTCATTCAAGCTCTAGATATAGTATATACAACATGTATTCTAAATTTATTAATCTTATTGAATCTTTATATAATAAGTCATGAATTGTTTTTTCATTATTCTTATTATTACTATAAATTATTTATGAAAATAATAATAATATGCTTTTTCAAATTCTGTTAGCTATTACAAAAGTTTACTTTAAATTGAGAGTTAAAAATAACTTGATCTTTACATTACCAAGACAGCATCTTTTCTTTTACAATTCACTGGTATAAAATTTTTGTTTTGTTCTAAATACGCTTAATATTTCTTATTCATGACTGCCGCATTAAAATGCATTACCATCTACGTGCTTACATAAATTTATGTACTTTGTATTACGCTATAATACACATAGGTGGTCAAATTATATTTTGTTTTTTATTTTACAGTCTCAGAAAGTCATACACGAACGGTTTGACTTCATGTTATTAGAAGAAAAAAAAGAGCTCAGCTTTTTATCTTATCAATCAATGTGTAACTTAAACATACTTCAATCATCTTTTAATAAGTTTAACAATATTCGTAGGATGTTTTATCATTCTATTCTTATCACAATTAGCTTTATATCTTCTCCATTTTATTAAACAATTTATAACTTCAAGAATGCAATTTTTATTGTTCTCTATAACGTTTTGAATTTAAAAAATTAAGTTCGTGCATTTTTCATTTCATAACACGATATCGTATAAAAATTCAATGATATTTCAATTTCCGTCGAAGGCGTCACAGACAGTAACACACCTAGCAGCTTGACTATGAAATGATTTTATTAACATATTATAAAATCAAGACTCTAAATGCGACCAGAGGGACAACATGGTACAAGGGCATCCATGTACAAGGAAAATGTACGAGATTCAAAGTACGAGACTTAAATAAATATTGTGACAGCATGGTAGCAATGATATTGAAGAGTCATCTTTCGTTCGTGTATATGGTTGCTGCTGTATCGTTGTCCTAGATCAACTTGATCATGCCAGGTAGCTATAAGTGTCCTTTTGACCCTCTGTGCGCTCCAGATATTCTTTCTCAATTAAAATATCTATACATTTCTGAAAGAGTAGAATCATCTTATGTTAAGGTGAAATCCTTCTTACAAAAATTGATTTCCAAACATTTTGGGTCATCGATATCATGTCATGATATACTGATATAGTAAAAAATACACGTAGTCAAAAATTATTTATGAAAATAATAATAATATGCTTTTTCAAATTCTGTTAGCTATTACAAAAGTTTACTTTAAATTGAGAGTTAAAAATAACTTGATCTTTACATTACCAAGACAGCATCTTTTCTTTTACAATTCACTGGTATAAAATTTTTGTTTTGTTCTAAATACGCTTAATATTTCTTATTCATGACTGCCGCATTAAAATGCATTACCATCTACGTGCTTACATAAATTTATGTACTTTGTATTACGCTATAATACACATAGGTGGTCAAATTATATTTTGTTTTTTATTTTACAGTCTCAGAAAGTCATACACGAACGGTTTGACTTCATGTTATTAGAAGAAAAAAAAGAGCTCAGCTTTTTATCTTATCAATCAATGTGTAACTTAAACATACTTCAATCATCTTTTAATAAGTTTAACAATATTCGTAGGATGTTTTATCATTCTATTCTTATCACAATTAGCTTTATATCTTCTCCATTTTATTAAACAATTTATAACTTCAAGAATGCAATTTTTATTGTTCTCTATAACGTTTTGAATTTAAAAAATTAAGTTCGTGCATTTTTCATTTCATAACACGATATCGTATAAAAATTCAATGATATTTCAATTTCCGTCGAAGGCGTCACAGACAGTAACACACCTAGCAGCTTGACTATGAAATGATTTTATTAACATATTATAAAATCAAGACTCTAAATGCGACCAGAGGGACAACATGGTACAAGGGCATCCATGTACAAGGAAAATGTACGAGATTCAAAGTACGAGACTTAAATAAATATTGTGACAGCATGGTAGCAATGATATTGAAGAGTCATCTTTCGTTCGTGTATATGGTTGCTGCTGTATCGTTGTCCTAGATCAACTTGATCATGCCAGGTAGCTATAAGTGTCCTTTTGACCCTCTGTGCGCTCCAGATATTCTTTCTCAATTAAAATATCTATACATTTCTGAAAGAGTAGAATCATCTTATGTTAAGGTGAAATCCTTCTTACAAAAATTGATTTCCAAACATTTTGGGTCATCGATATCATGTCATGATATACTGATATAGTAAAAAATACACGTAGTCAATTAATACATTTTTTAAATACGTACAAAAAAATTTCCTGGAAGTATAGAGTATTATAAAGAAATTGTTATTCAAGATGACTACTTACCTTAATAACATGTACTCTTGGTTTAAACCTAGAGCTTAATTGATTCAATACTTCAGCGACCAGTTGCTGATGTTTCAATACCTTCCGCATTTTCATAATCCTAACAATTGCTGCCTGAATCAGAAGTTTTCTATCTTCTTCTATATGTTTATGTGTCGTTTCTTGTTCGACCTTCAGTTCCGTTTTCATTGGTATGTTAATATTTACTCTCAACTTTTTGCTAGCAGAAGAATATCGATATGTAATAATTCATATAACAATTATCGCGTGTATGATTAAATAAATATACATACTTTTTATATCCTGCAAAAAGTTCCACCGTCGATAGCGGTGTCAATTCGCTTTCGTCGTCCGTAGCTGCTGTTAATAGCTTAGCTTTCAACAGTATTTGAATAACCTACGATATTAAAAATATTTGTAATGACGTTTAGATTTGTTATTTCATTCTCAATGTTTCTATGCTACCTGAAGCAGAAAATCCATTTTTATTTGTGTAGCATCGTGTAATTGTTGTATCGTCCATAATGTAGAACCATTATATTGTAACAAAACAGCCATTTGAAAAGTGGACGCTTGCAACGTATATCTGCAAATATACGATGATCTTTTACTGATAACTGATAAAAAACATTCCTGATTTGCGACTTATTAAATTTATCTTTTGTCACCTGTTTTTGAAACAATTTGTATGTAATTCTCCTTTGGACATATTGTATAACCAATTTAACTTTCTTCCACTATGTTGTGAACTATAGAAAGTGGTGAATCTATGTACAGATCTTTCTAGCTGTAATATACAAAATATTGCATTGTACTAATCCGTATTTATGAATATAAAGTAAATAAATCCATAACCCAGGTTACCTCTGTTGGCAATGAAAAAGTAAACGATTGTTGAAACGGCCACGAACCAGAAGATAACACTTGTATACTGAAATCTATATCCAGTGGTTCAGCAGAGTTTGTCAAATGTCTTCTGAATTGTTCATTTAGGTCCTTAGACACTCCAATATCCTGTGAACAGACTGCTACAATTATAATGTTATATAATTTTTACCGATATCGTTAGACACTGTACAAATATTTGCTTCTAGAAAAAATATACTAAATTTAATAAAATATATCGAACGCAATTAATACGTAATGATTGCGAAAAGTTTTACAGTCTAATACAGTACCTGGAACATTCGTTGTAGCTTCGAAGTATATTCAAAACCACAAGTCTGTTTCAATTTAGAAATCATAGAAGCTTCTGCATCATCACTGGCAGACATGTGTTGTACCAATCGTTTTGCTAACATTTTGCTATAGAACTTTTGGAATACATCTTTGTCTTCGATATATTTGAACACTACCATCTGTAATGAAAATATAGTATTATTTGATTAAAGTGTCTTTGTTCTTTCTTTCTTGATTGAAATAATTTCTACTCACAACTTGATTGAGTGTATCCTCAAGTTCTGCTTCTTCTGGATTTTTACTACTTTTTTTCAATAATAGATCACAATATTTTGCAAGTAATTCTGGTGACTTACTGCTGCTATTTGCTGCTCTAGTTACAGAATTACTATTAATAAATCTTCCACAAGCCTTATCAAGAGCTGCCACAAAGCCACTGTCGTTATTAAATGCAACAAGTACTAGAGCATTGTATTTTTTATGAACTTCCAAAATTGTGTTTACATAGACCTTTGGATCCTACATGGAAGTGCACTTAAAATGTTACTAATTCAACAACGATTTATTATAGATGCAGTAAAGTAATAAAACAAGTACATTAGCTGCAGAATCGCCGCACTTATCGATAGCTGCAAATCCTTGATTAGCTATATGGCCTTCTAAAAGATTCCGCAATTCCCCAAGACCATTTGATATTCTTGCACCTAGTTGATACATTCGACCCAAATCCGTATTTTTGTCAGCATCCAACAGATTTTGAAATTCAGAATGAAAGATATCTAAATGTTTCTCAATTAACACTCTCTCGCACGTTTTTGCCAATCTTTCGTGCGTTGTTTGGTGCAAATACAGTTGTACCCGTTTTTGCTCTTCCAGTAACCTTTGCTCTGCCTGTAATACAATAGTTTTCGCAAACAATTTCTTCAAAGGTACAGTATATTTCTAAAATGTTATTTAAAACCTTTTTCATATACTCTGTTACTGGATTTTGTCTGAGGAACTCTGAACTTTCTCGAGTGTAAAATCTTTCTGTATCCTCAAGGAAGACATTTTCGAACGAATTTTCGTAGACAGTAAGATTTTGTCCTTTAGCACCAGGGTCCTCTTCATTTAAACCCAATTCTACATAACAATTAATTACACCACTGACTAAACGCGTGTTTATTGTTTCCCCGTTGCGTTCTCGTTCAATCAACTTAAGCACTGCATTTGTGACCTGAAATATACAAAATATACAAAAACATTGAATTCATATTTTCTATTTAACTTCTTACTTCTTATATAATTCAGATTCGATTTAAATTACATACTTGTCTATTTAGGTGCTTGAACAAATTATCTCGCCACGTAACTAAGGCTAACTGATAAATTTCATAAATTCCTTTACGTCCCTCTTCACATTCTCTACGTACCCAGTGACGATTTAAATAAGCGCATACACCATTTAATACTTTACTACTAAATTGATATTCCTCCCATTGTCTCGTATAGAATTGCAATACATCTTCATCCATCAAATCAGTTCCATGCTAAAAAAATAATATTAAGTCATTATATTGGTTATTAATGTCTGACTATTTCCTTATATGATAATTACCTTTAATAAACTAATAAGATAATTTCTAAGAAATTCACGTAAACGTTTGTATAACTCCAAACCAACTAACTGTGCACCTCCTTGAGAAATTTGTCCTTTTTTACTTTTAATCGATGTTCTAGTTAACTGCTGATGAACACTCGTGCAATAATTATATACATGTCTAACAAATTATATAATGTAGTAAGGAAATTACTAGATTATCATCAGTTATCTTACAGATAATCAGTCTTTTCTTGTATAAACATTACAAAGGATACGTGTACAAATCGATATATCTTGGTTTAGACATGCATTGCCTGTTATAGACTTGCTCAATACCCTCACGTAGATCTCCCCAGATCTGATCTAAATCTATTTGTTTAAGGCCAGGTGGGCCTCCTTGATGACTCCCAGACCCTCCACTGCCTCTATGCCCTGACATTCTATTTCTATGTGCTTGTCGAGTGAGCGTCACTGTTTCTACTTTCTACCGTAATTTCTGCACAGAAAACATAAACAAAATTTGTATCAAGTACTGAAGAAAATTAAAATACATTGAACAAGAGATTGGGCAATAAAAACAAAACTGAAATGATAAGTGGCATTGTCTCATAATCTTGTACAAAAATACAATGTTATTTAATTACGAATAATTTATGGTTTGGACAACAACTAAAAGAAAAACAGCAATAAATTCAGTGAATTATCACACTTGATGATTATAATAAATTATTAATTATGTAAAAAAATGAACGTTACAACTATTTATCAAGAAACATATTTGTGGTTGCTGAAAATCTGTGTAAAATTATAAATAATGATATACGAAACCTGAGTGGGTCTAGAAAAAACGGTAAAGAAAACGATCGTGTATTTAACCAAATAAAGATGTTGGTGAAAAAAAATCATTCGATTAAAAAAGGTTAGTCGGTAATTGGAAGGTCCATACCGATGTAGTTACATCAGGATGCACATCGTTAGCAGTAGTAGCTTGAATCTTTCGTCGGGAAACTTCAGAACATCAGAAATCTTCGTGCTATAACACTATCATCCGTCACTACTGAAGATCCACAAAGAGCAATTGATAGAAATAACACCATTGTAACCATTCGCCACGAGAGAAAAGTTTTTTTCGTTGGTAAAATGAGGAAAGTATCGTGATACAGAAAGCGCGCACTCACCTGTCGACGTTCACCACCGCATAACAGGCAGGGTTGGACAAGGTAATTCTCGTGAAAACGTGGTAGCCACCTTTAAGAATTACTAGTAGTTCCCTTTACATGCGTTCTAACGAGAAATTTCAACTGCCTTTGCTCGTTACTCGTGTGCTCTACACGATGACAAGCACAGCAAACCGCAAAACCTAAAAAGTTATACCTCTGTGCCAAAAACTGACTACAGTTGCAATCTGCTACTTTACTTCTGACAGGTTAGGTGTCAGTAGTACCAACGCGAAACTTTGCATCAACAATTTCGCAAGTTTCTCATTTCACAATTAATATTTTTAATCGATTTTAAATTTTATCCAATTCCTTTCACGATTCTGTCATCATCGCGTTATTATTTTGATTTCGAAAACGCTATTTCTCAATGATTACTGAGAAGTATAGTGTTTTTATCTTTATACACGGACTCACTGATTATGAATTGTACGAAAATTTTGATTACATATTCGTAACAATTTTAATCGTATACGTGTACGTGTGCGTAGATAGATACATAGATTACAGCCTATTGTCGACAATAAAAAATAAAAATGTATTCACTACAGCTATTAAGTTTTAAAAGATAATATAACAGCGCGAGATACATATAACTGTAATATAAGGATATAGTAGTAACTTAGTTTATAAAGAAACATATTTTCTTTATCTTTTTTAATTTACCCGCGAAAGACTTCTAACGATTGCTTATAAAAAGGTAAAATTATTATGAATTATAATATAACCATGAAATTTTTATTTTAACCAATTCATTGCAATACTAACATGTTGCCATAAATAAAAAATGTTATTATCATAAAAGGTAAACATACACAAAACTTAACAGTAACAAAGGACTACATTTTGGTGTTACAATGGAAATGCTTCATGAAAAGTAAAGTAGAATAATGTTGGAATGGGTTATTTATTGCCATAATAAGCTGAAATACAAAATTGTACATGTAATATTTTCTTATTATAATATTAAAGCTATTATTTCATTTAAAAATACTTTAAAGAAACTTACTTTAAAATTGATAATTTAGGCATGCCGGGATCAGCACCTTTTCGAAATCCTGCAAAATAAGTTGATTATTTTTGTGAACATTATTTTATTTTTACGCGGTAAAATAATCGTAGATATACTATATATTGGTATATTGGTAATTATTTAAATACAACTCCTAAAAATAATTAAATGGATTTGAATCTAACCTAAAAATAACACAGCGGGAATGAATCCCCAGTGGAATACTACTTTGGTCACTTCTAGGACAATGGCAATTTTTTGTTTCGTACTTGGACTTAATGCCATTTTTATAAAATTATTCAGCGTAAATTATTAAAATAAATATCTTGTGTTAATGTTTTACATGCGATTGCCTGAAACGTCGAATATCGAACTTCGACCGTAATTGAAGGAAACAACGTTTTCCTAACCTTTTTCAATGGTGTTTTCTTCTTGAGCTAGATGAACTTCGCGATGAATTGATGAACGATTAGTACCCTCTTGTGGCTGTAATTGAAAACACGTTTCGCTTATTGCGAACGAAGCTTTTAATTTTTATAGCAATAATTTCTTGTCACAGACTATCTAACATTTCGTAGTTCGTGGTTAGTTGATGACAGATCGATTGTCACATATAGTAGGGCTGTTTCGTTTATATACAGATCTTTATTTTCTTCAATGGTAATTTATTATTTTATCGCTTTTATTTTCTTTGTACCAACAGGACTTAGGTATACTACGTGTAAAAGATTTTTTATTTTGTTACAGAGTTCGTCGGGTTATTGCAATTGGGGTATATGCAACTCGCAGGAGTATTGTTGCGGTGACAATGTTTGCTGCAAAGAATCAAATTTCGTTTCGAACGCTTTATTCCTAACGTATGTTCAATATTTCGCTAATGCAAATGGTAATGATAAATACTGACAAAACCTCGTATCAACAGGGCTATCATTTTCTGGATCATAGTCGTTATATGCTGCTGTGTTTATATCTATTGTAATTCTCGGCGAATTTATGGAGTTTTTTTGAAAAGATATTTTAAAATTAGCTATAATTTAATGTCTACACCAGAAGAAAACGATACAGGAGTTTGCAATAAGCCAGGAAACGGCAATAAAGAATTATGTTCTGTAAATGTAGAAAACAAAGACTTGTCCGTATTAGACATTGTTTACGCATAAGTAAGTGTCTTGACTCATTGTCATCAATGTAATCGTTCTACTATTATAACATTTTAAAGTGTCACTCACGCGAAGGAGGTTACAAAATCGGAAATGTAGCTACGGGAAGGGCGGGATATTCGAAAAAAGAAATATATTTAATGTATTAATGTATAATTAATAATGTATTAATATATTACTGGAAACTATGTATGTTTTAACTTTTTTATCCATGAGAAATAAATATTTCTGATAAATAAATACTGCGCAGCATAGTATGTACTCAAGATTCGCAAGCGTGGCGCTACAGCGCTGCAATAGAGCGCTGTCGGTTCGAATTCAGTTCGTTCATGTTGGTAACTCTGTTCCCAATGACGTCACAGTAAAGTTCCGAAATTGAAATCAATAAGTGGTGTGCAATGTTGTGTGCACATGACAGTTGGAACAAAATGGTGATTATGTCAAAACATCCTGATAGAGTATATCGTTTTTGTTTGCCAGGAACGACAGCGTGAATGTTTATCGCAGAAGATGGCTCGGAACGCGAAGAAAAAGTTGGCGATATTCGCTGGAACATCAAAGTGTTTGATATATGTACGTGAGTGACTTTTTGTACGTTTATTCTTCTCGTCGTTCGTTGCAAAATATAAATCGACGAGTCAACCTTTGTTTATTTTAAAATCGAACCTCGATTTCGTTCAGTTACGAGCAGGTACTAGCCTCGATCGTTCGAGTTTCGTTTTTCTTTTATTCTATTTTTCCATTTTGTTTTTTGCGCGCGTTTATCGCGCGTTTGAAGCCTCCCGGTCCGCGATTCGAAATCAGTTGATTTTAGAACCGTTTTCGATATTCAATGATAATTACGTTAAGCTTATAACGGATCATAAAGGGTTAATGTATTCATAGATTCGCTAATGACTTAAAACGGTAACTTCTTTTAGGCAGAAGCAAAATATTGTGCCTCTGAAATCCCTGGAGAAGTAAAATACTATGAGTGAGTTTCATCCACTTAAATATGTTTATTTCGTAAGGAGAAGATACGTGTTATATGTATAGCTGTTTCACCGTTAAAATAGTAAATTACACGGAACACGATTTCGCGTTATGTATGTACGTATGCACATACACACGCGTGTCTACGATGGGTTGATTTTAGGTGTTCCAGAACCGAATATTGTTGCGGTATCGGCTGCTGCGTATCGCCCGGGTTGCATTTTCATCATTTATGGTATTATTGGTACGTACATTTCTTCGTTACGTTCGATTGCAAAAGCAAAAATTCTAGCATCGTTTATTGCAGGATATTAGTTATAATAATGTTCCTGGTGTGCTCCGGTGGTGGTTGGTGGTATCGATATTGGTTACAAGGTAGATACCGAGCAGCCGCGTCAGCCATTCCGGCCAGAACTTCCACTCCGCGTGGGCAAAATCCTCTTCGAGGACCTACTTGTCAGGGACAGAGAGCTCGTATCACGTACAACTCAGCGCGGAACACCGTGTTGTTACATCGTATGTGGAAAGGCGAGTGGCGTATCGTCCGATTAAAATTCTAATTACGACGTTATATACGTATATTTTATAAATAGCTTTTTAGCGAAGTAGGTCGAAACATTATATATTTTTGATTCTATGGAACTATGTAACTAAGTGTTCGTTTACCGTAGGTCCCCAAAGGAACGGAGCGGTGCCTGTTTACAACGGAAATGCGACGACGTCGTCGACGAATTATCAGAACGTGAACGTCGTGTTGAACGATGCAAACTGTCCATACTACCAATTATACGGTCCACCTCCAAGCTACGAAACTGTGATAGCCCAAACACGTGGTAAGATATCTACTAATCCAGCTTGTTCGCCGGATTCTACGAACACGCAGACGAACACGCAGACAAACGTGCAGTCGCCGAGCGTCGCGACGAACTCAAGCCTGCCACGGTGTTTCTCTTACGCTTGTAACTCTTCCGCAAGATTGAATAACTCGTTGGAGCCAGACGTGCAGTATCGTCACGGTAGTGCCGTGCTCGACAATTCTCGACAGCTCGAGAATCCCGAAGGCGTTCCTTTCGCGCGATTTCCGCAATATTGCCTCGGAACGGACGGACCGCTTAGGCAGAATGCGTGTGTTCCTTTCTCCTATCAGGAACGGCCGCCGGTCTTCGAGGATAGTTTCGATCGAATTTATCAAGGAAGTTCCACCAATTACGTTCCGTATTCCACGGATAAATCGTCCGACACTTCCGATCCTGAGAATCAGAATTACGAGCCGAACGCGAAAAAATACGCCACCGTGAATGTCGATTGTCCGGCTGGTAGTAGCAAAGACATTTGGAAAGGCGTTTGGAAAACGAGCGATCGTTCTATTTTCAAGGTATACTCGCGGCCGACTAGCAATAAATCGGAAAGAGGCCCGAGCGAAAAGGAACAGAGTCGGGGACAGACGCGCGAAAGTAGGTCCGAAACGGAGGCAAGTTTTTCATCGGCGTTCAATACCGAATATTCGAATCGTACGAACGACTCGAAATCGACCGTGAATTCACCGGAAGACTTTGAGTCGGAATTCACCAAGAGCGATCGCGTGTACGGTGGTTCGTTAAAAGCGATAGGTAAAAATATTGATAAAGAATATTCCGCTGAAAACGCTTTGTCGAAAATATTGCCCCGTTCCTGCGACGGGCTCATCAATACCGAGCCGACGACGGCGAACGTCGGTGCGAGCCGTCGTAACGCGACCTCTTCGGAAGGTTTATCTGCGGTTAATGTTAGTCCAAATTCTTTCCAATCGAATCCATCCAATAATGTGATATTAGCGCGTTTCGACGCGAACGCCTCGTCCTCCTCGACCAACAACGTCGAGAACGAGACTAGCCGTTCGCGTCTCGTTAACACTGGTACAAGTACAAATTCTGATCTTGAAAGTAAACATAGATTAGACAGATCGAAATCGTTGGACTGAACACTGAAAACACTTTATTATTATTATTATCTTTGTCATCATCATCATCATCCGTATACATAGCGCTTATTCTCGTAAACCTTAACCAATTTATGCGTATCTCGCGTACGACTCGCGCGTTCAAGTCGTACACGTTAGTCGAAAAATGTAAAGATTTGTTCTGCCAGATTTGCACCGGCGATTATGAAATAAACGCGGTATTATTTTTTTAACGATTCTTCGAAGCCGTACGCGACGATTTCACGGTATAAAAGAAATCGTTTAATTAAGAAACAAAGAGGAAAACGTTAAACGTTGGACGCTCGTTGATCCCGTTTTCCGATTTACTGCCCTCGAGACATGCCCTTTTTTCCAGAGACGCTCTTATATTTTTACGATTCGAAAAATGCTTGTTTGTCTCGATAATTGATATACGAAATCAGTCTGGTATTCGATGCGATACCTTTTTGTTCGCATTTGAAGAAGGGGCCCATGGGATCACTTAACGTCAACATCGTTCAATTTGTCCCCGTTACTCATCGATTACAGGGCAATTTATTATCTACCGTTAATCGACAGGTATTGGCGCAGCCAAACGAGCCGTAAATTCGTATTTTTGTACGCGTCAGCGTTTAGAGAAAATTATTTTCTATTCTAATTTTTTTAGCACGTTCGACGAATGCGTTGTTCATTATAGTTCAGTCTCGTTTAGTTTCGCTCAATTCCGTGCTACGAAACGGGCTCGAAGCGATTCCAGTTACGCACAAAAGCGTTCTCCGACGCTGTACTTGATCGTCCTATATTGATATTGGTATGCCAATAATAACTCGTTAGCGCACCTTTTTCTAATCTTTGCACCTCGTCGAATCACACTTTACGAATCACGTAACTTTTCAATATAAATCTAATTAACAAGTTTAACCGATAGGTGAAATTTTACCGATTGTCTCGTGCGTCGTATTTTCTATAACGAGAGTGTCACAACGCCACACCGAAGTGTTCGATGACACTGAACCGCGGTTTTCTCTTTCAAACAAGAATCGTTGCTTTTCAGTTCGATCGAACATCTTAAACGTTTTATCGATTTCTTAATGTGCATGTTTACGCAACTTGCGATATCTGAGGGTTAAATCCTCTTCGAACTGCGATGACCCTATGCGTGTTGTTAACTTTAAGGTGTACGAGTGACGAGAGGTGGTCTGGTCTATTCTAGTCTACTCTAGTCTAGTCTGGTGTGGTTTGTGTCCTACGATTTCGAAGCGAGAGAGAAAGGAATAAGATGTGGATGAGAAATGAAGTATTTTAATTGTATGGTAAGAATACTCGAGGAATAAAGCTCAGCGAGGAGAGAGTGCCGAAAAATTGAGTCCGAATATGATACGTAATTTTAATGGATTGATGATGACAGCTTCTATTTGTAGATATTTCTTTTTTCTTTCATTTTCTTTTTTTTAGGAAGTATTCTTTTCACGTTGTACATAAGAAGGATCGATTTCATTCGTGTTAAAAGGAGCTATAACGGGAAAAGTAAATGGAAACGATAATGGAAACGGAAAAGAAGATGAATCGAATTTCATGCGGATACGTTTCAATAACACGAATGCAATCGTTGAGGAGAAGTGACGCGTAAGTTTTGAAGAAAATTTTTCGATTGTAACAGCGGTCCAAAGAAACAGCGTACGTGCCAATAAACGAGCCCGTTAAGCGAAGTATAACATCGAGTAGAACGGGATAATCGATCTCGCGAAAGCAAGAAACTCGATCTCACAGCCAAGGTATTAGTTTAAAAACGGAAACGAAATTATACATTACGTGCAATACACAGAAACACATACAACATACACGTGCGTACAGTTGCATAAATATAAACATAGATAGAATTATATTTATATACTTATGCACGTGTACACGTATGCGCGTGCATACCTACATACATAAAAACACATAAGTATGTAAGTATGTACTTACAATAAGCAACACGTAAAATTATTTTTTCTAACCGATCCAAGTGGACGACGAGGCCGTTTTAATTGTCCACCCGAATAAAAAAATGTTAAGGTCGTAACAAGTATCGTTCCGAATCACGGGGTCTTCTACAGATTCAGGAAACACTATATTTTATGTGCGTGCGTAATCTGCGTATTATATAGCTTTAACGATATAACTAGTTCGAACGATCCTCCCACCGTAACGTGCAATCATATTCGTATTAATATATTACAAGATATACCTATATTGTACCTCACGCGAAAAGTCGTCTTTCTGAAATAAAGACAAAAGTATTTATTCAGGTAACCGTGTACGATCTAATAAAGGAGCGAAAGGTCGATCGTTTTTTACTCGTAATTAATCGGGTTTCGAGCGTAAACGCGATCATTTTTGCCGGATCGTTTACTCGACCCGAAACCTTGTTTCTCTCGACCTTGCGTTTATCTCCTCTCTACGCTTAACGTCTCGCTGTCTCTTTGCGTGTGACGTCAACGATCGCTCGTATCTTCGTAGACAATTTTCGTTGACTTCTTTTTCCAGTCGTTTCGCGGCCGAATTCGTTTCCAAAAGGTTACCGTCGCGCGGTAACTGTTCGATCGAAGCTGGAAAGAGGCGAGCGAAGAAAAGGAGAAACGAGGGACGGGCGGAAGATAAGAGGGAAAACAATGCGTCGGTAGGTATTATCGGATACATAGATGGATAAATAGATAGATAGGATAATCGTGTACGATAGAAGGTTGCCAATGCGAAGCAAGCGTAAACCGTAGGAGGCAGGTGCACCACTGTCGGAGGAAATCAATACCAGGAGAGGACCGGTAGTAGAGGGGTTGAGAGGCGCGTCGAAGCATCCCCATGAGAGACACAGTCACGAAAAGCTAGGAATACCGATATAGAGGCTGGAGAGCGGATAAAAAGGCTGGAAAACATCGTAGCCTCGGCGGCGAACGGTTTCGGGGAAAACTCCTCCGTTTCTCTCGACCGTTCGCGATTTCCCTCGACGCCATTCACCGAAATCGTATCGACATCCGACCTGCTCTCGGTACAGTGAACCGACGATTCGAGTGACGAGTGATTAGCCGTCCGCGTCGGGTAAGATGTCGGTGAAGGTGAGTGCGCGATAAAACACCGCTCAATTTCCGTGAAACGTACGGAAATAGACGTATGGTGTCTTTCGAAATGCGTCTTTCCGCGAACCGCGTACTTGCGTTACGTAACGAACCTTGACGGAATTAGCGATCGTGGCAAGTGGTCGCATTGGGAATGCAAAATATTTGCCCCGTTAGGCAAATACCTCTGATACCGTTTCGATCGGTGTCAGAGTCCTTTTATTTTCCGGTCGATTTGTACAATTCGAGCGTGCAGGAACTCAGGACGCGTTTTACCCTTCGTGTCTCGTTTATCCTTACGGGAGACGAAAGTACGACAAAAGGCATTTTAATTGTACGAACGGCGCCACAAGTGTCCGTTTCCTGTTAGTACGTACACCGTCGAAACGGCCAAGTCGTACGCGTGCGCGTGCTTGCGCCAGATCCTCGTTGCACGCGTGCACGCGTCGCGTGCAGGCGGCTGCAGTTCCCGCACGAGCCTCGTTCGCGTTATCACCGCGCTCCAAAATCGACTTTCCACCGAAAATCCACTGCGGACCCGCGAATGCGCGAACGTTTCCGCTTTTGCGTTTATCTCGTCCGGGCGTTATCGAAGCACCGACGTCAAACGCTCTCGTGGTTCTTTTGCCCGTACAGTGATTTCACGAACCACCGGCACAAATAAACGTTGGTCGCCGCGAATCGCGTCGAGCGTTTCGCGCGCGAGTCTATCTGACGCGCACCAGGGAGGAGCTCGAAATTCCCATACGGCCGGAACGACCACTCGGGAGTACGTATTTTTAGTTTCTAAAACGTGACCCGACAGCGATTTCGCTAACCAATTTTCCAACGTCGACGCTTTGTTCGAGACCAAGTTTTCTACCCTCTTCCGCGAACTTGCTAGGTACTCCTTAACCCGTGTAATCGCCATGCGACATGACGTCCCGTTAATGGAAAAATTTGCGATTTATCAATTACGTTATCTCGCGTGCTGGCCATTGCGCAACGAACGTTTATCCGAAACGGTGGCTAGTGGAGACTGCAGCGTTCGCCGCGTGCTGTTCGATGGCACGCGTCGTAGCCGGCAACGCTAATCACCGCTCTTTCTTTCCGTAGATGATGATGTACAAACAGGCGGAGTTCGAGGACGAGGACAGTAGCATCGGTTCCGTGGCTCTGAATAGCGACGGGATCAGCACCTCTGCGACGCACATCAGATACCGCTCGGTAAGTTCCACGTGTTGGAAATAACATTTGTGGGCGTACCATGTGGAGCGGAAACACGCGGCGTCTTTTTTCCGTGTCCTCAATGTTGAATTTCGTGACAGGGAACTTCGTTGTGGAGAGCGAGGAGCGCGCTGGAGAAGTGTCTCTTCATTGTGTGCGCCGGCTTGCTGTTGATGATTGTGATGCTGTCGATAGTGATCGGCAGCGAGAACGGGTGGAACGAGAAGCAGATACTTCGGGTGACTTCGCACGAGGAAGGTGAGGTTCGCTAGGAAAGTTAGAGATCGTTTCGGCGATTGAATTCTCTTCTTTTATCTGGACGTCGATCTTTCCCTCGTCAGATGGTACACACTGTTTGACCGAGCATTGCGTAACCGTGGCTGCATCCATCATAAACGGCATAGATCGCACGGCCGATCCCTGCCACGATTTTTACGAGTACGCGTGCGGTGGTTGGATCAAGAGAAATCCTATACCTGACGGGAACAGCATGTGGGGAACGTTCGGCAAGCTCGAGCAAGAAAATCAGCTGGTGGTGAAGAACGTTCTTGGTAATCCTCTGAACCTTTCGATCGATTCAGTATATTCTTTTTCTTATCGTTTTATTTCTACAGAGAAACCGTTCAGCGAGATGATTTCTAAAGCGGAGAAGAAAGCGAAGTACTATTTTCTGTCGTGCATGGACGCCAACGATACGATCGAAGCACGCGGTGCGAAGCCGATGTTGGATCTGTTAGATACCGTTGGCGGCTGGAACATCTCCGGGAAATTCAATCTTAGCGCCTGGTCGTTGCAAAACAGTATGCACATCCTGCAAAACGTCTACAACATGGACGGTTTGTTTACGTGGGCGGTGAACGAAGACGATCGAAATAGCACCAGACACATTATACAAGTTAGTAGCCGCGTTACCGTTTATCATACAGCTTGTTCCGAAACATGTGCTAGGTGGCAGACACTAAATCATTGTCTCGCTTTCTCGTTTTGTTTATTATCTTTTTCTTTCCAGATCGATCAGGGAGGTCTAACGTTGCCGACCGCGGACAATTACTTGAACGTGACGGAGCACGGTAACGTGCTGGTTGCCTATTTGGAGTACATGACAAAGGTAGGCCGGAAACGGGATACGAACCGCACGATGTCTCTCGTCGCCGGTGAATCGCGTACAGGTAACTCGTACACGTTTACAGATCGGCGTGCTGCTAGGTGGTGAGGAGAATTCGACGAGAAAACAGATGCAGCGAGTGATCGAGTTCGAGACCAAGCTAGCCGAGATCACGACGCCCATGGAAGACCGCAGAGACGAGGAGAAGCTTTACAATTTAATGTCGTTGAACGATCTTCAACGTAAAGCGCCTTTCGTGAGTAACGGCGTTTCGTTCGACGTTCGGTGTTTGGCGTTCAACGTTCGACATTCGACGTTCAGCGTTCGACCCTTGATCTTTACCACGATGATCATGCTTCGCCTACTTTTAGATGTCCTGGGTGGACTATTTTCAAAACGCGACCCGTCTCGTCAATAAGAAGATCAACGGAAAGGCGATGATCGTGAATTTTGCTCCGGAGTATTTCGTTAAATTGTCCAAGCTCGTTTTGGAATACAACAAGACCGACGAAGGGAAAATGTAAGTTTAGCGCTCGTATGAGATTTGGATACAACTTCTAAAACTCTTATATTTCAGAGTATTGAACAACTACCTAGTTTGGCAGACGGTCAGGTCTCTGACGGCCTACCTGTCCAAACCGTTCCGTGACGCGTACAAAGGTCTCCGGAAGGCTTTGATAGGCTCGGAAGGTCGCGAAGAACAATGGCGATACTGTGTCAGCGACACGAACAACGCGATGGGTTTCGCGATCGGTGCGATGTTCGTCAGAGAAGTGTTCCGTGGCAAGAGCAAACCCATGGTTAATCGATACTCATAATTGTCTTGTATCTAACTCTAACTATAAGCAACGTACACGCGTTAGATAGCAAGCGTAACATCAACCCTCGATTCTAGGCGGAGGAGATGATCGATCAGGTCCGCGAAGCGTTCACTAAGAATCTCAAGAACCTCGATTGGATGGACGCTGAAACTAGGAAAGCCGCCGAAGAGAAAGCGAACGCTATCACCGACATGATAGGCTTCCCCGACTTTATACTGAACCCGGCCGAGCTAGACGAGCGTTACAGAGACTTGTTGATCAGACAGAACGAGTACTTCGAGAACAACGTGCGAGTAAACAAGTACAACTTGCGAAAGAATTTGGAGAAGCTCGATCAACCCGTAAACAAGACTACGTGGATCATGACACCGCCCACGGTCAACGCTTACTACAGGCCTACCAAGAACCAAATGGTTTTCCCGGCCGGTATTTTACAGAGTCCCTTCTACGACATGGCGAATCCCAACAGCTTGAATTTCGGCGGAATAGGAGTGGTCATGGGCCACGAGTTGACTCACGCGTTCGACGATCAAGGTATTTGTACTTTCTGGGTATTCGACTTAAATTACGTGTCTTTTCCTTGCCTCGATTAAATAATCATTTCCGCTTCGCAGGCAGAGAATACGACTTACACGGAAACTTGAATCAGTGGTGGAACAATGACACGATCGAGAGGTTTAAAAATAGAACCGAGTGTTTCGTGGAACAGTATAACAACTTTGAGATACATGGCCGACGCGTAAACGGACGGCAGACTTTGGGTCAGTTGAATCAACGGTAGACATTTATTTACTCGATGATTTATGTCTCGGTCCATTAATCGAGTTGTTTTGCAGGAGAAAACATTGCGGACAACGGAGGTCTTAAAGCGGCGTATCACGCCTATCTTGCAACCACGAAAAGCTACAAAGATGAGCTGCTGTTACCCGGTCTCGGTTTCACTCATCGTCAACTTTTCTTTCTGAATTTCGCCCAGGTAATCTTTCCGATGACACTGTTAGGAAGTGTCGTTGTTATTAGACTGTTTGAAACATTTGTTCTTTTGTCCAACCAGGTATGGTGTTCCGCAGTGACATCCGAAGCGATAGCTCTCCAGATCGAGAAAGATTCTCATTGTCCACCAAAGTATAGGGTAATAGGCCCGCTTTCGAACCTACCTGAGTTTGCTCCAGAATTTCGCTGCCCGAAAGGCTCGCGAATGAACCCGGTTCATAAGTGCGAGGTATGGTAACGCGCCGTTTCTTTCATCCGTTTCCGGCGTAACGTTCCGTTTAATTCGATCGTCGATACTGCGAATCGGTCGTCGCGAACACTTTTCAACGCGCTTCCATTTATCCGAGCCAGGACCTCACACACACACATTTTTCTCTTTCCCTTCGGCGTTTATATTTAGTGTCGAATATACCGTTACGTGTCACATTTAACCGCGTCATCGATTCCGTTTCTACCGGACAATTTTATCCGACACACGGCGTCAACTTTTGCGGAGGTGTGACGTATCGAATTCGCTCTTCGTACGTTTGCCGGACAAACGTCAGAGGCCCGTCGTTTCGTGAGCTCCGGCTCGGATACGAAACGTTTACCAACGAGTTAAGCTTCTTTGAGCTTTCGAACGATGCGACGAGCTATGTTGCGCGATTTAGAAACACGTCAGGACCATTCTGCGAGTCGTTACTCGTCTTATACGGTTTCTCTAACTCGCATTACGAAGCGTTTCCCACGACATGACACGACACGACACTCGAAACGTTCCGTTTCACTTGATTTATAGTGATTATCAGAGACAGTTCGCGCGTCCGTTCATCGAACTCGACCGACCCGAACCGACCCGACCGATCGACCGATCGACCGACCGACTATATCGCAAGCGAAAGCGTGATTTTATTGCGCGAACAGCCATTTTTCACTTTTATACGTGGAATCAGTATTATTCGGTCTATCCGTGTATACGCAGTAGAATGTATCGATCGTGTTTAGCCGTCTAGTTACCTTTCTAAAAGGTAGACGAAGGAGAAGCAAACGAGATACAGAAAGAATCCGTTAGAGACGAGGATTTGACGCGTGGATGTACCGCATAGATGTTCCATTTGCTTTCTTTATCCTTCGTTTGTACTCGCGAAAAAAAACAAGGGAAAGAATCGTCGACGATCTCGATGAGCCTAAGAGATTGTAAGCGGCCGGAAAACTGTAGCGTTAAATCGTAAGAAGTTTAGTTTTATAAAGAAACCGCGCGCTAGTTTCGGCGGTACGATGCGTTTAACGTTACGAATTGTTCGGGTAAATATTTTTCAACGTGCTGGTAAGCGTATATTTTGTGTCGCGAAGCTCGTCAACCGAGCTGGAAAGCTTCTTTTATGGGCTAGAAAGTATGTCAACGATCCTACATCATGTATTAGATATTAACTGAATTGTCGTATAATTTAAGGAGTTATTTTGTACAGATAGGTAGCGATTCTTCGCGCTTATGTACCGTCGGGGAGGCGAGATTACGGTGAAAATTTTATCCAAGTCTTATCGAGATGAAAGTTAGTTGGTGCAATTTAGCTCATTCTTCGATGTAAGTACAACTTAATCGATACGGTGTTCGTTAACGGCGTACCATCTCTGTTCTGGGTTGTTCGTCGAACAATCGGTCGATCAGATTCCTTACGACCCTCCATTGCGAACTGCTGGAGACAAGAACAAGAATTTGGTGCGTCGAACGCGCGTTCAAATGCGACATCGCACATTTCGAGCAGATAGACTCGATGTCAATAATGATCGTGCTGTTTATAGGACGCGCGTTTCAATCAAATAAAGAAACGATAAAAACGACAGCCACATCTTCCATCTTCCTTTCCTATCTCAGCTACGATTTTCAGCTACGATTCGACCGCGAAACGTCCACATTTTCAGACATTCTGAAAATTATGGAATCTTTAAAATTCCCTCGGCGAGATATTTGCGCATTCGGGACTCTAAGTATCAGCGTTGCAAGCACGTTAACGATTACGTTGTTGTTTCTTTTTCAAAGATTCGTTCAGCGGTATTATTATACCGTACAATATAGATTCGAAGATTATTTGGTAAAGAATAGGTCGTTTAATCGGAATGTCGCGTATTATCATCGTGGAACGAGCATAAAATATCGTTCCTCGCGCAGAAACGGAACAAGTTATAATATTAATTAAGAGGGCGAGCACTGGGAGATGGTCGTAATTGGCGTACCAAGAGCGCGATAACCGGAGGTGACGGAATAAATGACCGTGGCTGCGAGTAGTGCGTGAGCCTGTCCATTCGTCAGGGTTTAGCTGGCTGTTCAACCGGTCGATGGTCCCGCTTTTCGTTATATCGTTCTGCATTTTCGGCGAAGAAACGCCTTTATTACGGTGCACGCACCGGAGCCCACTATTTTCTTTTCCCTTTCGCCATTCCCTTTTCCCCCACGGTACTATACTTATCCCTGTCTAGACGAATGAATCATACGAGTATTTTGACCGGGCCGCGCGTGGGTGGTACACGGAAAATTGGTCAGATTCCTCGTACGGTCTACGACGTAGACGTTAACGAGCGTTCCCTGTTTCGACGTCTGTCGCGAATCGACGATATTTCTTCTTTTCCTACTCGTTACATCCACTCAGACTCAAGGTAAGTAGACACCGTTACACAATTACCCGATCGAGCATCAATTTTAAAAGCTTCCTTTTAAAACTAAATACCTAATCGATGATTTCACCTCCTTGCACTGTGATGTTTTTGTCAAGTGCGTCAGTCAGAACTGACTAATTTCAACATGAAAACAGACACAGAAACTTGAAATGTTATGTGAATTTGGTATCATACATTTTGGACTTGAACTGCAAATTGAAATGTATTCAAAGTTCGAGTAAAATTGATCACAGCCGAAGTACGAGTGCGTGAAACTTGTCGAAATAGTGTAAAGGGTTAAGAAATATTTTGTAATTAGATGAATGTTAATCGTGAAGGCACAGACTGGTTCCACGACCCAGGGGGCACAAAAAAGTTGAAAGATGACCATGAAACGCCGAGCGATTGAACAGGATACCAGAAGAGAAAAAAATCGGAAAAAAAATACATGGATCCTTTTTCTCGAAAGTACTGGCTGTCGCTGGTGGCGCGGAACAAAATGGCTCTCGACCATCGATGACTGATGCCCTGCAACGCGTGGGGCAACACGTGAACCATCGTTCAACACCCTCGCACAGTTGGGCGGTCCAGTTTCACCGATTTTGAGTCTTTTCTTATTTTTTTTAACCACACGCGATCGTTAACGATCTGCTACAAACTTATGAATTATAACAATAAGCTGCTTTAACGTTGGAACTACCAAAATAACTGGTTTCAGATTTCCCATTTTATATTACAAAATTTTATTGTATATTACAATATTTTATTTTATGGAATTGTATGCCATATTTTGTTGAGGTAAAAAGCTTAATGGTTTAGTATTTATTTATTTTTTCTTCGATAAACGAGCATTTGATGTCGGTAGTTCTAGTGTTAATTTATTCTTACAATATTGGAATTGTCTGCAAAATGAAATTGAGCAGCAACGAAAGATTTTGAGCAGCTCGATTGTGACCGAAAAATATTGTTTTGCAAGCATTAATCTTTGCGAAGCTATCACTTGCGTACGCGATGACTTTAGTTTTATCGGCATTGTTCTTTCGCAAAAACGCGCAGGAAGTTTTTCGGAATTCAAACTATCGAGAATCTCGGTCGAGAATCGCGACTTCCTCCGTCGATTAAAATGTATACGCGGTACGGAAATAACCGATTTCACTGTTTCGTAATGCGAAGCCGTGCATCTCCGTCAAGGATTTGAATCGTTTTGAAAGTCGATTTGTATTTTAAGTATTGCGAAAAAAGAATGACCGATACCCTATCTCGACCATCGGCTCCTTGCAAATCTCTCGGTTCCGGTTTCCTTGCCTCTCTTTCCGTTTTATTTTTATTTGCAACCTCTGGTTCGCTATCCGGCTGATCGAAGCGAATAAAAATTCGATCGATTCGCATGCACGAAAGTTCTCGCGTCGAATTTTAAATCGCTCATTTTAAAACGCGATTCTCTCCGGGGAGACCTTGACGTTCCACGCGTACGTTTTCGATTTCGCGATCCGTGGAAGGCGATTTCGCTTTTTAGCAAACTGCTGACCGACATGTTCGTGAATTTGTGATTCGATCGCTCGAACTCGATCCATTCGATCGACGTAAATGTCGACGAAAAACGATATCGTGGGAGTTTGGAGAATAAGCGTAGAACAGAATAGGCGTAGGAGAAGAAAGGGCGGAACGAAAGACGAGGGAGAAAAGGGTAACGAAGAGAAGTAGGGTAAATTAGGAGGGCGCAAGGACGGGAGATGATCGTCGGAGTATGGCGGTGATGGACGATGGTTCGAGGGGTCGAAGGGTAGGCGAGGGGAGGGATGAACCGCGAAGAGGGGAATGTTAGGTTGCGGTGGCAGCGGGGCAGCAAGAACAGGGCGGCGGAAGAGGCAAAACTGACAGCGAAGAGGGCGACGAGCCGATAAAGAAGAAAGAGAAGGTGGAAGAGACGACGAAGGAGGAAGAAGCGGAGGCGGTGGCGACAGGTAGCGGTTGCGGTTGCGGTTACGACGTCGGTGACAGTAGCTGTGGCGATGCTGGAGGCGACGAAGAAGGTGAAAGAATCGGTAAAGGTGGCGGTGGTGAAAGAGACAGAGACGGCGAAGTTGGGATCTAGTTGGCAACGGGTGCAAGCGAGCATAGAGTATACATATGTATACGTAAGTACGCGATCGGCCCCTACACACGAATCCGTAAGATACCTACGGGAGAGAAAAGACGGAGAGAGACGTTAAACGTGCGCGAGAGAAACGGGGAAGAAAGAGAAAGAAGGAAGGAGGGGAGAGAGAGAGAGAGGGAGAGAGCGAGAGAAGAACCGAGTAGAAGGAGAGAAGAAGAGAAGGAGGCCTCCGCGTCGACATATATGCGGCGAGAACGCGCGCCTCCTGACTCAGTGCTTGACAAGCCAGCAAGCTCTTAGGATCCATCGAGTTTTAACGGCACAGCCTGTTTCACCAGCTGCCTGCCACTGCCACGCGCGTAACGCTTCTTCTTTTCTGTGTCGTTCTCTTCCTTCGCGCAAGTCTCTATAATTTCTCTCGATCGTTCAATGACCGATCGCACCGATCGAATCGCTAGATTTCGTGAACCTTCGCTAGGGTAGACACGGTCTATCCGGATACCAGAAGGAACAATAACGAACGAAGAAGGAGGCGCGATAGAATCTATTGAATCGGTAAGATTTCGAGGAGGTTCTCTTCGGGGATTTTTTCCATGATAGGTTTAAGAAGGCGTCGCATCGGCAAACGGTGACGTATCGTTGGCGCGTACGCGTTTGAAGTTCGCGCTGGAGCACGAGGATCCGTCGAGGACCACCCCTTTCGATCTCGAAAAGAGGATCGCGGCCGACGGCCGACCCATCGATCCTTCGGTGCAATGTGATTTTTAAAGGTATCCTGGTGCATCGAGTGCGCGGCGAATCCTTCGGTGATCGTTGTACGCGGACGGTGAAAACGGAAGTAAAGTAAAGAAAACGAAGGGTAACAAAACGGAAGAAAAGGAAAGGACAAGCGTAGAGGAAGGTAACGGTAGAGTCGGTTATCGTTAGAGATCGCGAGAAAGGGAAAAGAAGGGAAGAAAAGGGCCGCGAGGCAGCGGGTTCGTAGGCACGAAACGGCTAAGAGAAGAAAACGAAACTGGATCGCGTAGATCGCGATCGTTGCCGGGGCTGTTTGCCTTGCGTCCGCGATGTATCGGTTGACGGAAGCGACGAGGAGCGGCGCGTCGTCCGTCGAAAGAATTTTCTCGAAACGGGGCCCGTAAGACAGCGCGAAATCAAAAGGATAACGTGGCCGGATAAATCACGGAAGAAGAAACACTCGTCGCGGAAGCGGATAGCGGAAAAGGAGGAGAAGTTGGAGCCGAAGAAAACGAAAAAGGTGGAGGAGAACGAGGTGAAAGTGGAGACGAGGCCGGAAAGGGAGGAGGCGGAGGAGGCGGAGGGGAAGGAGGAAAACGAAAACAACAACAACGACGACGACGACGACGCCGACAACGACGACGACGACGACGACGACGACGACGAC